GTAACAGGGGACTGGGTGTCTCTTACCATTGATCTTGGTAACAGGGGACTGGGTGTCTCTTACCATTGATCTTGGTAACAGGGGACTGGGTGTCTAGCTGGGAGATTCTTTGCACGAACTCCTCAGGAAGCCACTCCTGCAAGAAGGTTCCATGAAAGGCCTGGGGATGGCCCAAGGGAGCTGCCTTCTTCCTTTGCTCAGATTGGTCCCTCAACCTCTACCACCAGAAATCCTCTCCATCCTTCAGAGCTCAGCCAAACCACCTCCTCTATGAAGCCCTCCTGGACCCCCACCTGCTCAGCACTAACCACTTCTTCTTCTGTCCTCTGCCAGCTGTCCTGACTGTAAATGGCCCACATCAACTCCTGTTCAGATATGGCCAGTGGGCTGCAGGCCTTGTTTCTCTCTGGTCTGTAAGCTCTTGGAAGTCTTGATGATCTCAGAATTGCCTTAACAAGATGCTTTTGAATTGATGTTTGTTGAATTTTATTAGCAGAATCACTCAGAAAAAGTGGTGCTTGTCCCCAAGAATAATCCCAAGAGTGGTTGGGAGATCCATGCTCACAAACATATTATCATATCTTCTGTGGACAAGGTAGGTGTGGACAATCGCAACAACTGCCCCAAATCCTCATCCCTCCCTGTATGCACGCCCCCTTGTAACGCCCTCCCACTGTGACTCTGGGCTTGACCATAAGACAAGGCCAATGTAAGGAAATAGGATGCAAACAGAAGCCTGAAAAGCCCTTGCATGATTGAGTTTGCTCACTTCTGCCCTCTGCCAGACTCTGAGAACATGCCTGGACTATGGTGCTAGAAGACGAAAGACACATGGAACAAAGCTGAGTCACCCTGGTCATTCTGGCAGAAACCGTCCTGGACTAGCCACAGACAGCAATCCCCGGGCGTGTGAGCAAGGCCAGCCAAGATCAGCAGGGCCCACTGTTGACCCACAGCTGATGGAAGATGCATGAGTGAGCCCAGATCAGCTGAACTCAGCCAAGATCAACTGAATTCTCCAGCTCTGTGTGCTTCTTGGTATATGCCCAGGGGCTGTGTGATTGGTTGTTACGCAGCATTAACATGGCTACAGATCATTGACACAGACAGTGGAATTAGAGTTGGTCAAAGGGAGAAGTCAGGATAGGAGGAAAGTTGTAGAAATAACTCTGGGTGGAAAGTCAGACTGGGTTCTAACTCCGGCTCTGCCAATTGCCAGCTTCATGGCCCAGGTTTCCTCACCTCTCTGGACCTTTCTCCTCACCTGTGAGGCCTCTTCCCTGTTGCTACCTGCCCGTTGGGTAAGGGAGAGAAGAACTGGCTTCCTCAAATGTGGAGAGACCTGGTGCTTGCATCTCCCACCCTGACGCAGTCCTGGCTCCCTCGATCCCCCCATGTCCAACCCGTCTAGGCAGACATCTCACCTCACCCCAAAGGCCTCACCTGGGGCGTCAGCTTCAGGAAGGTGATCTGCGGTGACGCGTTGGACAGCACCACTCTGCTCCTCACCTCGGAGCCATCTTGTAGCACGACTCCTTGCACATGCCCTCCACTGCTCACCTGCACCTTGGCCACTGTCTAGAGCCACCGGAATGAGCCCCAGAAACCCCCAGGAAGGGAAATGCAGGCTGGACCTCGGAGGATTTCCAGTGTCTGTGCTGCTCCTAGGCACTCGCAGCTTCCTCATCCCGAATCCACCCTGCCCAGCTCTGCAGCTCCTCGGTGAAGCCTTAGCCTACCCTCTCCAATGCGAAGACCCGGCCTAAATGTGGGTTAGGGGCTGTGAATTCAAAGGGGGCGGGCAGAGAACTGGAACTTGGTTGATAGCTGCTTATCCACTAACAGGCTGCATAACCCAAGGCCCTTGATTTGGAGCCCCGTCTTGTCCATCAGTAAAACGAGGGACCTTCCGAATCTGAGATTTTGTTCATCCTGGGATCCTTGCCAATAATCAGGGTAAGGGGTAGAGGGGCCGTTCACCTTTTCAGTGAAGATACTTGCTCCATGCGCAGTGGCTGAGCTTGCGATGGCATCAGAGAGGGCGCCCATGCCACCCTGGACGTAGCCCCAGGCTCCCTGCATCTCCTCCAGGCCCCCCATCACATGATGTAGCAGCACGTACCTGAGGACAGACCATCAGAATCGCGGCTGGAGGTTGGCTTTCATCTCCCCAGAGTTCCAGGCGGAAATACTCCTTTCCGTCTTGTACCTTCAGCCTCTCCCTGCCCCCATCCAGCCCTGTTTCACTAGCCTTCCAAGGAGCTCTAGGCTGTCGTAAGAGCCCTTTGCTGCCCCCAGTCCACATTCTCTCCCTGTGCAAATGTTGTCTGCGTGCAGACCTTAGTTCCAACGATGTAGCCAGCTCTATCCTGAGCTCCAGCCCATATGTCTCACTACCCACAGACATCTCCATCTGGATGGGTTTTGGGCAGTCACCTTAAACCCATCCCGTTTTCCCCACTCGCCAACCTGTTTCTCCTCAATCTTCCCCATCCCGGTGATGGCACCTTCAGTTTCCAACAGAACCCTGGGTGTCAGTCTTGACTCCTACTAGTCCCTCACCACCTACATCCAATCAAGCGCTGTCAACTCTGCCTCCTAAAGAGCTTTCCAATGGCCCTGCTCCCTGCTGCCTCTCCCCTGGCCCAGGCCACTCTTCTCTTCCTTAAACCGCTGCAGTAACACCCTCCTAATTGGACTACCTTCTCCCACTCTTTCTTCCTTGCAGACCTTTCTCCACACAGAACCTGGAGCCCGATCTCAAAACCGGGCTATGCTCCTGTCACTTCTCTCCTTTCAAACCTTCACTGGCTCCTCATTGCTCTTAGGGTGATGGCCAGTCTCTGAAAATGGCCTCCAGGGCTCCTGCCTGCTCATCAGCCTCATCCCTCACCAAGATCCCCCTCGCATCCCACACTCCTACCAAACTGGCCCTCTTTCAGTTCCTTGAATGGACCACATGGTCCATTCTCAGCTCCCAGCATTTGCACATACTGTTCCAGCAGCCTAGAACCCCCTTCCTCCCTCATCTTTTGTTTTGCTAATTTCTCCTGCCCTTAGAGTCTCAGATTAAACATCTCTTCCTTGTGGAGGGCTTCTCTGACCCTGGACCCACTTGTTTCTCTGCTGTATTTCCCCTATCATCACACTCCCAGGCTCCATTATCATTACTTGCTCTGTGTCTGCCTCTCCCATTAGGATTTCAGCTCTGTTCACTGCTGTATCCCCAGCACCCAGCCCAGGCGGGTGCTCCATCAATACTTATTGAAAGAATTAATGAAGAAACAAATTACTTAAAGGCACATTTCACAAACTGGGCAGTAGCTAAGCCTCCCAGAGACCCATAGGGAAAAGGATGCGAGGCCCCAGCTGGAAGATTCAAATTGGCTGGTTGATCACAGAGCTTGGCCAAGGTGTGGCAATTGCTGCCAAGCCCCCTTTTCCATGGCCCTGGGGAAGTGGGGGCTGGCTTAATGTGTGTTGAAAAATCACTTTCAAGGGGTGCTCTTATCCCTTGAGAGAAAAGCCACATCGACAGCCTCTAGGTGCATCTCCTGGTGCACTGGAAATGGCCCAACACTTGGCAGCATCCTCTATCCCAACACACACACATGCACACACACCCCTCCATTCCTGCTCCTACAGGGGCTCATTAAGTCATATCACAACTGCAGACTCCACTGTGTCTGCCTGCCCCCTCTCCGATCAGGCAGCTTCCCACCCATACAAAGGTGTCTGTGTGTGAGCGAGTCCTGGAACCTAGGGAAAGACTAGTGGGAGGGGGAGGGGCAATGAGGCTTCCTGGGAGGGAAAGAGATAGAAAGAGAAGCGAGCAAGTGAGAGAAGAGGAGAAAGAAAGTGGGAAGAAGACATTCATGTTGAGGTACCAGTGGGAGGTGGGAGAGAGGCTTTTCTTACTGAAGAGTAGAGAGTAGTGACCAAGAAGGAAGATTTGGGAGAGTCAGGCATCTTGGGCTGGAAATCAGCTCTGCCACTTACTAGCTATGTGACTTTGGGCAAGATGCTTCCCTTCTCTGAACCACAGCTCTCAGATGTTGCTTTGAGGGTTAAATGAACGTGTATGAAGTTCCTGGCTTCACGTTTGGCTCCTGGGGGAGCTCAGTGAATGACAATTGTTGGTATGACTCTCGTCGGGGAATTCGCCCCACTCCTGCTGCCCCACCTCGCCTCCCACACTCACCCACTCCCCGGAGTGTGGGGACTTGCCATGGCGCCAATCACAGCATCTGTTGCCAGAGTGGCTTTTAGAGGCTCCGACTCAAACCACTGATCCAGCACCTGGACAGAAAATCTCGGGAGGAGAGGCCCCTCATTGAGAGGTCCGGCCGGAGGCTGGGGAGGCCCTCACCTTGGTGATTGGAGCTGTGAGGACCTGGTAGCACTGGGGCAGCTGGGCCCCCAGGATGCGGCCTAAGAGAGAAGATCCACACAACATAAATTGAGACGGGGAAGAAGGAAAAACTCCCATCTGTAACACCCCTGCACCTGTTTATCTGTAAAATGGCAGTAATATTTCATATCCTCCAGGGATACTGTGAGGATTAAACGAGATATGTAAAGCATTTGCATGTCCATAGGCACTTAACACATTTTAACTGTTAGCATTATTTTGGAAAAATTTTAACTTGTATCTTATTCTCTTACTTTGAACTCCATAAAGCCTGTACCCTGGGACGTGGCCGGCTTGGCTAAGCCATTCCTCTGATGCTGATTCAGACTATCTCTGAGAGTAACTAGGCAGGAAGGCCTTGAGGGCAGGGACCATGATCTCTAGCCATTGTAGCCCCAGTGCCTAGTGTAGTGTCTGGCACACAGTGGTTACTCAATAAATGTTCACTACATGAATGTTTATTGCATGCTTATTGCACGAAGCTCTTTGGACTGGTAATCTGAGAGGCAACGTCTACTTTTGGCATTTGTGACACAGTCTAGTGGCTCTGATCCTTCCCCCCTCCCTGTATCCACACACTTTACCATGTAACTCTGCAGTGCCCCGCCCCCCCCCCCAGGTGGGTTGACCTGCCCTCTCCTTGATTCTGGACTCATCCACGTGATTGCTCGGCCATCGGAATGTCTGCAGATGTGATGCAATCAGAGGCCTGAAGGCCTGCGCATCTGGGCTTGCCCTCTGTGCTTCTGCCATTGATGAAGAAGGCCGTGCTTAGATGCTGCTGTTTCCAAGACCAGGATGAGAGGCACCTGGAGCAGAGCTGCCCCAGCTGATCTGCCCCAGTCACAAACACGTGTGAGACCAGACCAGATCAGCTGAGCCCCTCTGGGATCAGCTGAACCATGCAGATGAAATAAATGTTTATTTTTATACACCACTGGAGTTTTGTAGTTGTTTATTATGCAGCAATTTTGTGACCATAGCCAACTGATTCAGTATTTTTCTAGAATATAGCAGCTAAACTGGACTTTATACCCTAGAGGAGTGGTAGAAAATAATAGCATGCTTGGTGAAACTTCCCTTCTCAAAACCCATGGCAGACATCACTAATTGACCACAGAATGTTTTCTTGTTGAGCCCAAATCTAGCATCCTTCTTGTATGGGGGCATCTCTTCAGACTCTCTTGGCCCGTGCCTCTTATTCTAGCTATGGCCATGGTGACAAGCCCAGGCAGGCTTCCGTCAGCTTCACACAGTGCAACCTGACGGCATCTCACCTCAGACCTTAAGATGTCCCTCTTCATTTCTTCCCTGGGGCTTCTCTGCACCCTGACAGGATACTCACAGGAACCCACGTGGCACCCATGGATGCACAGCCCAGAAGTTAATGCCTTTGACCAATGGGGGACAGAACCCGATGGATAAATGTTCCCCCTTTCTTCTCTTGGGATTGGTCCTCATGTGCATTTCACAAGGCTTCTCAGAGGGTCCATGCAGGAGCCAGCACCTGTCACCCACGGTGGTGGCCAGCACAGTAACACCCTGGTACTGACTTGCCCTCCTTCCAGTTTTGCTGCTACTTTCTCTGGGATTACCCTTCTCAATGAACTGCTTGCACAGAAGCCTTTGTCTCAGGGCACGCCAGGCTAAGATCTTCTCACTAAAGTCCTCCAGGCAGCCCCTATGAATTGGAGGTTCAGGCTTATGTCTGATCATCAAGGAAATGGGCTCAACTACGTGGAGGCCCTCCCACACCCTGATGCCTGCACTTTGGACTCACCTGCCTGCAACAGGGGTTTGAGGGTGGAGAGCGACCTGAGCCTTTGTAGCAGGGAGCCCCGCAGGAGGGCCTCCATGTCCACGGGGGCTGCGTCCAGCAGAGGATCAATGGCTAATGCCAAGCGATTCATGAACGCCTCATATTTGGGAAAGGCCTGGAACAGAGCTCCGAGTCAAGGCCTCATTGCCTAGAATTCCCTGTGCTCTGCCCTCCATGCCGCCCTCGTGTGGCCTGCTGCATCTCAGCCCACCCTTGATGGCTCCTCAGGCCTCCTGCCCAGACGTGGCTCAGTGAGGCTGTGCTGAGTCACTCCCAGTTCAAGGTCTGTGTACAGATGTCAACATGAGGGGAGGTCAGAGAGCCTGGGCGGTAGGAGAGCCACCGGGCGGTGGCAGGGACAAGTGGTTAATGCTGGCTAAGACAAGTCGTCAGCCACAGAAAGCTGGCAAGTGTCTTAGGATGCGCTCTCTCGGATAAACCAAAAATTGCCTATAAGTTTCTTCCCTCTGTCCTGTCTTTCCATATATTACGGTAAAAGTAAGATCTCTTTCCCTGTATTCCAGCTCGCTGATTGTTCTTCCCAGGTCTGCAAATCTCCCACATCCTCTCGTCTTAAGCAGGAACAGAGAAACCTGCAGCCCTTCACCCCACAAGCTCCCACAACAGAATCCATTTCGACAGCCGGGTTAGGACACCCCCCCTTCACTGGAGGGCGACAGGAGCAGGATGGATGCCTGAGCCACTGGAGGCTCTAGCTTGAATCTCAGCCCAGAGCTTTGAATTTCTGGTTCATCTAGACTCATGGAGATAGCCATGGAATTTTAATAACAGTTACATAAAGAAAAGTTCCATGTTGAAGTACATTGGAGAGGTCTTGATAAAAATGAAGTTGAGCAGCTTTCTCTGGAGCAGGCCATTAATATGACAACGTGCAAAGACAAAACCAGAACTCGGGCTCCTTACTTTCCACAGTGGGATGTGGCCTCTGCCTCCTGCTCCTGTGGCCACTAGCATGCAAGGTCACAGCCACTGTCCTGTAGGCCCAGGGACCCGGCCTTGTCCTGAATCCTCTCCAGTGCACCTGAGACTATTAGGATTTGGAGAGGAGGGTGTAGGCAGTGGTCTCCAACCTGCTGCACAAAAGACTCATTTGAGAAACACTTTTAAAAATAAAGCAAAGGGCTGACCCCACGGTTTAGCCGTTAAGTGCGCGCGTTCCACTACTGGCAGCCCGGGTTTGGATCCTCGGCGTGCACCGAAGCACTGCTTGTCCGGCCATGCTGAGGCTGCATCCCAGATACAGCAACTAGACGGATGTGCAACTATGACATACAACTATCTACTGGGGCTTTGGGGAGAAAAAGGGGAAAAAAAAAAAGGTGGAGGATTGGCAATAGATGTTAGCTCAGGGCTGATGTTCCTCACAAAAAAAATAAAATAAAATAAAGCAAAGCTCCCAGGTGATGCTGATCATCGGCCAGGTTTGGAAACCACTGGTTGAGGGGATATGCTGTGTGTTCGTGGTTCTCTTGGTTTTACCCAACACTAGATTAACACAACCAAAAGCAACACACGTTGATCATAGTAACCTAGGTTCTTCCTATCAAAACGTCTCCGCCAAGACAGGAGTTAATGCTATGTCTTCAGCTTGTATCTAGGCTTGGTACAAAAAGTGTCCATTCAAAGAATCTGTTTACATCTGCAAAACCAATCACACCAGGCCCACTACATTCAATGACCCATCTAGATGAAACTACCCAACTATTTCCTTACAATGCAATCCCAAGAAAAAAATGTGCCTTCTCCATCAGATGTGTGTACTTCCTTTCACCAGATCTGCATGCCATTATGGACACATTCCTGCCTTGGGCTGCCAGAGGATTGATGCCAAATCAAATGAATGTTTATTACAACTCTCTTGTCCTAAATTCCTGATCCAGTTCATTCTATCCTTAATTATCTCTGATCCTTCCTTCATCCTTCTTTTTGGCCTTCATGTGCTTTAATACTGATAACCACCTAGAGTTCTGTCTGAAAGCAGTAGAGATAGAAAGTATATACAGTGTAAGTACATACCGGTAGACTCCCCTTTGAAATTCAGCAGGCATTGGTCACCTGAACAATGGCCTCAAACTGAACACTCACAGGTTTGAGGGTCTCCCGTGTCCCCTGGTCTTAATCACTGTCTTCCATTCCCTTCTCTTCCCAGCGCCCAAGATCAAAGACTAGCACAGACTGGAGCCCTCTAGGGCAGGTGTGGTGGCCTGTCCAAGCCCCTGTGGCCTTGGACAACATGCTCCAGGACAACTCCAACCAGGCCCATTTCCTCTCAGGAGCTGCCCCCTGGCTGGCGAGGGAGGAGGAGACCAGTTGCCGATCACTTTTCCTACCTGGGCATCCTTCCGTGAGAACTGGGCGATTTGCTTCTGGTTTTCTGCCATGTCTGTGCCCAGCAGAAGAGACCTGGGTGTCTTGCTCCCTACACCCTCTTCCAGCATCGGGGTGAAGGAGTGGGGGTTTCGAAGATGAAGCCTCAGCCCGTGTTTCTGCAGAACACAGACAGCACAGGTAACATTTGAAGGCATCTGCCCTTGACCAGTCTCCAAGTGTGCTTGTGACCATTTAGGCACCTGCATGCTGGTTCCCAAGGCATGTGGTCCTGGTTCCTATTTTTTTAATAGAAGTGTATAAAACATCCTCTTGCTCAGGCACCCTATGGCAGACCATACCATACCACACCATGCCATGTCACACCATACCGTACCATACCACACCACACCACACAACACCACACCACACTACCCTCTGCCAGGGACTGTGACAGGGTTTACAATGGTTACCTCACAACAACTCTATAAGTATGTCATCCTTATCATATAATTGCAACAACAGAGGCTCAGAGAAGTGCAATAACTTGTCCAAGGTCACCTTGGGAGGTGGATCCAGGTTTCAAAACCACATCTCTGGCTCTTGGCACTTGTCTACAACTGCCCCCACTTCAGAAATAAATAATTAAAATTTAGAAAGACACAATAAAGCAACGGTTATGTGAAAATCTATACTTACAAGGTAGATAAATTATTCACATCAAAAATTTTTATTTACTTTGCAGACTCATTTACTCCAGGGTCACTTTAAATGGAAGTTCCCTTGATGCATTTAAAATATGATTTGATTTACAAATATTTGACTAGCATGCAGAACTTTCCAAGAGCACATCTACTTCTTCAAAAGAGAGACAGATAAAACAGAAGGGGCCTGTGCTACCCCCACAAATAAAACGCACTGTTCCCGCTGGAGACTTCTTTCTTCTTAAACCACTTTATTGAGGTATGATTGACATATAAAAAGCTGTATGTATTTAATGTATGTAACTTGATGAATTTGGCCTCTAGAGACTTCTTTTCCCAGATACTCAGCCAGCTCCCTCACCTCTCTGAGGTCTCTGTTCACAGGTCACCGGAACAGCAAGGTCTCCCCGCCCCCAGCATCCCTGCCCCTCACCCTGTTCTATTTCTCTCTGAAGCACTTATCGCCACCTGGCTAATGACATAGTTTTCCCCCATCTCTCCCAGGTAGACTGTAAGCTCTGTGAGGTCAGGGGCATTGTCTCTTGCTCAGTGCTGTATCCCCAGCATCTAGACACAGTGCAGTCAATATGTATTCTGTTGACTGAATAAATGAATGCGACATGGCAGACAATCCTAGAGGACAGAAACGAGATCTGTGAGTAGAAGATTTAGGAAAGAAGATTTAAACCTTTCCAATAATTACAGCTGAATTTTCCCCAAACCAGAGACATTCCAGATGGCAGGAACATCACAGGTTGAGCATTCTGTGGAGGCCAGTCCAAACATTGGTAGGGGCTGGGGCTGGAAGACTTGCAGGGCCCTTTCTAACATGAAGATGGAAATTTCTTTGATTCCAAGCTAGAGGAACTTCCAGCCTGGTTCCTCTTGACATAGCGAACTCTTTATCACCCAGGGGGTACCCTTAGTTCCTCTTTTTCTCTCACCCTTTTCTCTCATCCCATCCATTGCCAAGTCTCACCAGCTCATCTCCAGAAGTTGTCCACATCTCTCCATCTCCACTGCTCCTCAGCCCAAGCCACTATCTTGTGAACCATGGCAGCAGCCACCTCCCTGAGACCATGTCTGCTTCTACCACAATCCACACCATCCAGCAGATGGACTGACCTTTTGTAAAGTCATAAATCCCATCACCCCCCTTCCTGATTAAACAGCTCTACTGGCTTCCCACTGCACTTGGGATAAATGCAGTCCCTTCAGCACAGTCTGCGAGACCCTGCCTCAGTCTGGTATGGACTGAAGAGCAGTGACCCATTCCCAGGGCATGGCTAGATTTCATCCAGTCCTGGCTGGTGATGGGCTCTTTCTTCTCTCTGTCTCTCTCTCTGTCTCTCTCTGTGTCTCTGTCTCTGAGGGGCTCAAGAATAATTTCTCTGGTGGGTTTCTATAGTTATCTAGTTCAGAGAACTCCTCTACATGAACCAGTTCGAGCAGTCAAAGAGCTGTGAACAATGGCTGAACGTCTTATTAATTCCTAACTTTCAACTTAGAGCAAAGTTGGTGCTAAAGTGCACGCAGCTTCTTGCACAGACGGCACAAAGGACCCTTTTCTCTGAGTGATGGGTGACAGAGGCACCAAGCGGGTAGAAGCTACGTGAGCTCCAGGAACGTGATGACTGAGTTTATGAAAGAGTCAGTGAGGGGTGAAAAGAATCTGAAGGGTGGGGGCAGAGTTGGGCAAGCCCGTGGACCGAGGTTACGCTGACTAAGAGAAGTCAACAAGCACAGACTGAGAGCTCTCAGGATCCCCTGAAAACAGCCCAGATGCCAAAAGAAGTGAAAGTCCCCGGGGTCCGACTTCCTGCTCAAGCCGCCAAGAAGGGAAACGGGATCTAAAGTTTAATGAGGGCTCATGTCCTAAGGCAGCTTTGCAAACTCAGAGGCCCAAGGGTTCAGGCAGGTTCCCTGCGAAGGCCAGACAAGACGCCAGGAAGTGACGGGGCAGGGTGGAGCTGGGGACCCGGTCCCATGTAAGGCACCGGCCAGAGCTGCACATAGGAACACAGGCCTGATGTTGACAAGGCTCGTTCTTCAAAAGAGGTCCGATTTTTATGTGAAACTTCCCGATTTTAAGACACGGGTGGGTTAGACAAGCCCATCTGGGGAAATGCACCAAGAAGACTGTGTTGGGTAGACAAACCCTCGGGTGGAAGAGAGACCTTAGGTGCAGGGAATCACTGTGGGCACGTGGTAGGAGCCTTCATCCCAGGGCAGGGAGATGGAAACCACCCCCACTGTTGGGCCATGGGGGACTCTACCTTCAGCTCCAGGTCGGTGTAAATCTGCGGCCTCAGCAGGCTGAGGAGGTAGGACGCTCGGGAGAACTTAAACCCTGAAACAGAATCAGATGACAACAGTCACCAGTGGTCACCAGCAGTCACCCCCTTTCGCCCCCCCACCTCTCAAGGCTCACCTGGGATGATCTCCTCGGTGACAGCTGCACCCCCGATCACGTGGCGTCTCTCGAAAACTGCCGTGTTCACCCCCAGTCTCTGCAGGTACGCCGCCTGGGGGCGCACACAGGGCCCTCCCTGTATCCCTGGGGGCTGATCTGCCATCTCAGGGTCCTCACTACAGGGCCAGCATGTGGCCCCTAGGCTCAGGTTGTTCCCGCCTCTGGGAATGCCATCCCCTTGCTTCCCCTGTAGATTCCCACTTTCCCAGATATCTTCTAAGATCTGACATGATTGCTCTTGCCCCTCCACTTCCCAGCCGAAGGCGGCCTTCCCTCCCGCAGGGCCTGGGTGCCTCTGTGAACTCATACTGCACCTGCCCAGCCCTGCCCAGGGCGCCTATCTCCTCCAGGCGGGGGCGGCCTCACCTCCCTCACAGCCCCGAGAGCAGCACAGGGAGCTTGCCTGTGAGTGCTGAGCCAGACGCCCAGGGTCTACTCCCCTCTCCCCCTGGTAGGGCAGCCTCAGTACCTGATCCATCTGGCCTCAGTTTCCTTGTGTGCAAAAATGGGGCTGATGATGATAATACCCACTTTGCCTGCTTCACAGGTGCTGTGAGGGTTCACTGAGCTGGTCCCTAAAAGGGGCTTACACTATCCCTGGCACACAGGACGTGCTCAATGAATGAAGCTATGATTACAGCACGGCTTTATTTGGGAGAACAAATGATGGAGGAGTTTTATTAAATTTTCTCTAGCATTTAGTGGGAAATCAATAAACATTTGTTGAATGGAACTAGTCCAGTCCTGAGTCTATGCTGGTCCCACCAGCACCACCAAGGTGACCATAGGGACGGTGTAATTCAGAAGTCAGACTTTTTAGAAAGTTCACTTGGCAACTGCTGTGTGCCAGACACTGCAGTGGACCATCTCATTCCATCCTCCCACCACGCCAGAGGGAGGCACTATGATTCCCCCCACTTCACAGATGAGGAAACTGGGGCTCAGTGAGGCAAACAGCTTGTCTCATGCTCATGCAGCTGATGAGTAGAGATGTGGGGAACTGAACCCAGATGGTCTGACCCAGGACCTATACTCCAGTCACATCCTAATGAGAAAAGAAAAAGAGCAGCCCCCAACATTCAGAAAATGGCCTGGCCCTCAAGGGTAAGCCGTGTTATTCTCCTGTGAGAATGACAACCTCGGACAAGGGGAGTCTGAGACCACGATAAAATGAGACAGAGCGAGCCCACTTCACGGTTTTGTCTAAGCACAGACAAAAACAAGGTCTCTGCCTGCCCACAAAATACCAAATGTCCTCTCTCTCTTGGTCAAGGTGAGCGACTGCTGCTTCTTTACCAATTACGGCTCTCCTCACACCAGTCCCCCTCCCTTCAGGTAAGATTTATCGAGATGCCCAGTCACAGGGTTGTCCCGCTTCCTGACTGCATCCAATCTAGACTTCCCTAGACTCTCCCCCAAATCCTCCAACCAAAGCCCGATCCCTAGAATAGGCACCTCCTGACACCCTTGTACCGACACCCCACGGTCCGCACGCTGTGCTCTCCCTGCTGCAGCAAGGCACCACCCCACTCCACCAACCACAGGGCTGGGCCTGAGTCTCTGAAGGGCACCGACACTATCCTCCCTTGGGCTGGAAACCTCCAGTAATAAGAGCCACCGTTTGTGTCAGGCTTTGTGTGGCAGGCCCTTGAAGCACATCATCTACTCCCTTCGCAGCAACTCGGTGAGGGTGGGCGTCTTTATTCTCATTTACTGTGGCTCAGAGAGCCTAAGCGACGCGCCTTAACCTTCACAGATGGAAAGCGGAAGAGCCGGGAGGTGAACCCGTGTTTATATTAATATAAAATGGAGGTTTTAAATTACTGGTCAGTTGAGATACATAATGTCGCCTGTAAAATGTTCAAGTAAAACTGATATGTCGGGGAAAGTATGAAGATTTAACACAAGTCTCATAGCGCCCCCACGTTGCTAAGTCCCTCTATACTGAGGTTCTAGAGCTGCCACTGCTTCAGGAAGATGTTCTGTGTTTGTCTTGTGACCTGAACAGCCTCTAGCACACGCTGTGGCCTCCTAGGGGTACACAGGCTCAGGTGTCAGAAGCACAGCCTTCGGGTAACCGTGGCTCGGCTCAGCCTGGGACAGAAGCCAGCTGTGTTGGGGGGGCCCTGCCTCCTCTCCTTCTTCACCGTCTCTAGGGTACACTTGGACTGTGTAGCTGCTGGGTGGCCCAGGTTGGTATGGGGCCCAGACCCAGCTGGGGAGCACAGGGCTCTGTACACAAGGACTGCTCATAATCCGGAGTCAGGGCCCCCCGCCCCAGTTACCTAATCCCCAGGCTCCAACATGTCTCCCAGCGTATGCCAGACACACGCTTTCCCACCTTCCCGTCATCTGGCTTCTTAAAGCTCCTGGACTCTCCCAAGGTCATGGGGGAAATCCACGTGTGTTAAGGGGAGGAGAGGAAAGGGAGTCCCTGCTATCCTCCCTAACTACCGCAGATGTCCATCAACCCAGCCACCGGCTGGCACCAGGGAGAGGGACTAGCCTCCTTCCTTCTCTCCCGTGGCCCTCATCCTGCCCGCTTCCTCACACGCCTGCTGAGAACCACGCGCCCAGGGCCGGTGAAGCGGGCAGAGGGGGAAGTACTCACAGCCACCAGCCCATTGTGTCCTGCAATGAGACGGGGAGAGGGGAGGAAACCAACACTGGTCAGTGGGCAGACACATTCCTTGACGAGTGTGGTCTTGGAGAGCAGCAGAAACTTGGGGGACTCTCCCACCTGTCCCTGGCTGTTGGAACAGCATCTAGCTCGATGCCATAAGACATCTGGTCTATGGGGAGTCAGAAAACCTGCGTTCTTGCCCTGGCTTGAAAACAGTCCTGTCACCCTGGCTTGGCCAGTGGCCCCACGCTGGAGAGAGGGGCAGGGAGAAATCCATGGTCATCAGACGAAAGCCATCGCACGAAGCCTTGCATCGCTGGGCTTCCCTCGCTGGGGATGAGCCGGTGACTGTCGAGCGCGCGTCACAGTGTCCTTGGCAGAGAAGAGAAGGGAAGTGTGGCTGGTACACTGAGGCTGGATGTCCTTGTCTAGTATGAAATCATTGGCCGTCAGGTGAGTGCTGGTCACGTGGACGGTTGCTGTCAGGCGTGGCCTGTTTTGCCCAAGTGTGGTTCACAATGGGCAAAAGCCTTTGCCCCAGAAGGCTTTACTCACATGGGTTTGTCTTTGTTAATCCCCAGTGCTCCCGAAATAAAATAGGAACAGTCCAAAAATAAAGTCAACACATACAGGTTCCGTGTGAGCTGGAGTAACCAGGCGTGCTTCAGGAGTGCCCGCTGACCGGGCAAATTCATCTGTCTTATGTATAAAGTTCTTCCCAAAAGTCCCAGGGTTAGGAGCCCTGAACTTGGCTTGGGATCCCATGTCCCACTGGGAGTGAGTGGCCCTCCAGCTTTGAGAAGTTTCAGGATCACCCGAGAACTCCTGCAAACGCTGATTCTCAGACCCCTCCTGAGTCTACTCAGCAGGCTGGGGGCGGGGACCTGGAACGGATTTCTCACCAGCTCCCAGGTCACTCTGAGGCAGGGCTCAGACCCACAAGCCGAGCTCACAGACCCTTGGCTTGAGCCGGCTTCCTTTTTCTTTACTCAGGACAAGGAGCAGCTGCTGCTGGAGAATCTTTTGTTCGGCAGAGAACAGGCCCCGGTCGTTTTCGGGGGAGGTGGGGCAGGCCTCATCTGGAACACTTGGCTCATGCTTCTCCTTGGTGATAGAAGGTCACTCTGAGTCTCCAAAGATGTCAGCAGATGACTATATTCTCTGGGTACCGACCTGAACCCAGTGTTGACTCAAATAAAACGCTCACCGTTAATTTGACAAACATCCATAAAGAGGAGGAAGCAATGACCCACATGAAGGATTTCTTCATGGCTGAGCTGACTTTATTTTAAATTCTCCACACAGAGACTCCCAGAATTTTAGAGGTCACTGAGCTAACTTCTCTTCCATTAAAGGAGTCTCTAAAATGGAGTTTTTCAAACCTCTTTGACCATGATCCACGGGGAGAAATGCCTTTTACACCATTTTCTGGCCCACACCCCACATATAAATGTATTTCACAGAAACAAAAGCTTCATGAACTAATATTAACTCTTAACATGTGATAAGCATGTGATGTATTTGATTATGTTTCATTTTTTAAAATGCTGGTTGACGTATTATTTTTACATATTTTTGAAATTTTTCATAAGATAGTTTAAAAATATGCTGATTGGACTCATACATGGATTGCAGCCTGCAGTTTGAAAAGCCCTGCTCTCAAATCCATACAACAGATGAAAGGCTGGCCGTCCTGGGCTCCCCCTGGCTTCCACTGTTTACCAGGACGCGGCCCTTGGAGAGTCATTTCAGCCGCCCTGAGCCTCAAGCTTCCTCGAGTGTAAACCAGAGAGGACGCTGGACCTAGCAGTGTCGCAGGGAGAACCACCAACATATATGGAAAGCACCTGAGCCCTAGCAGACCTGCAATAAATAGCTATTTGTCTTTTAATTAGTGCTGATCATAAATCTTGCAAAACTAATAAAGTCTTCCAGGCAACTGGGTCCAGTTCAGTCATCACATGTAAGCCCACAAATGCACAAACAGACTCAAATGACAAAGCCTGAGGATCCAACAGCTCAGGACCCCCCTTCCTCCACCATCCCCCCCATCCCCAGTCTTGAGCCCTCCTGTGGCTTCTGGTGACCTCCCCTTTCCCCTTGGAGGGGTCATAAGCTGCAGGCTCCTCTAATCCCCGGCCCTGACTCCGGGGATCCTTAGGCAGCAGGCACGCGGGGCTCTTGAGAGAAGCTGCTCTGCACTTAGGTTCTGGGACGTGTGGGCTGCAGCTGCCTGCGTCTGATCCACTCAAAGTGTCAGTTAGATGTGCTGACTTCTGAGAGTCATCTTCAGTCCTTGGAACCCTCATCACCAGATACAGGGCCCAGGAACTGCCTTTTAATAAGCTCCTGGGTCATGCTTTGGCATATTCAGTCCAATGACTAAAGCAGAGTCACCTTCAAGGTGGCTCCCAGGATGCAGAGATGAGACCCAGGGTCCATCCTCCTTGCCAGGAGACAGCAGGGTGGGCTGTCACCAGGAGCAGAAAGAGGCATGCGGCTTCTCTGAGGCCCAGAGGCCTGGGGCACTTCCATCTACCGAGCCCAGCCAGTGGGGCTGGAGCTGGCTTCCTCCAGCCTGGGAAGCTTGTGAGCTGGTTGTCGGACACAGACATTGTTAAAAATGAAATGATATCAACTTAGAATAAATAATATTAAAACTAAAAGTCATAAATACGCAAAACTTGTCACTGCCTGATTATTTTACTACATTTTACTATTACCTATGCTCTTGTGGCTGTAGTCCCCCATGGATCCGTATGGCAGCCATACTATGTAAGGATGCTCTGCTGCGTCTCGCTCCCAAATTCACATTCAGCAACGTCATGCTGGCAACTTGAAACAGGCCGCAGTGGGAGTATTCAAGCCATGGAATTCAGCAAACAGTACACATCAGAGCTTGATTTATTACTTTGTTGACTATTCGACTTAAGAAAGTGATGGAGAAAATGCTAATAATGCGGATTAAACCTAACAGCGTGTTGTGTCTGTTGCTGTTACACTGTGAATAGCACAAAAGTTGAGGAAATATTCTTCCAGTATTGGAAAAATATCTGATCAAGCAGTCATTCCCGTCATTGAAGAACGAGTGAAGTTTGGACATAAATCTTCGTTGTTTCACTTTTGTTCTGCTCTTCAAAGTAAATGAAAATATCCAACAACATTCCTTTTGGATCTATCCTCATCTGTCAATTGCGACCATATCTTGGCTACTGAGTTTGGCAAAAACCACAGAAATTCGATGAGAATCCATTGGCTACTTGGAATTTAGAGTATTGTTATTTTATTTGTAAAACTGTGTGCTATACTTCTTTTATTTCAGTATTTAGAATAAACTTACGTATGTGTATGTATATGCACACATTTTTCCCTGGAGAGGTGGCTGTTAACCATGACTGCTCCTAGTTCACACAAAAATGAAGAAATGCCAGAACAGGGATGCGGCTTTTGAGCTGGATGATGAGCATCTTCTTTCAGTCCCGTCACTGTCTCTCTGACAATGGACCGGCTGGACACAATGTCAACAGTTGAAATTCAGGCCCTCTGGGAGTGTGAATGGAAGGCAACTTGGTCCTGGCCCGCAGCCTCACATAATCACCCGGCAGATGGAGACTCGGCAGCCCGGGGGTCAGCGGCGTGTTCAGGACTACTGTGGCAGATTCCCCCCACGTGCCAGATTGCAAGGCAATGAGGCGCTGTCACCCTCGGCCGACGTGCAGTAGGATCTCTGTGACTTATTTCTCTTTTTTCCCAAATGCCCCTTACGATTTGTGATTCCCATTTCCTTTGGGGATGGGTGACCTTAGTGATGAGGGGATGGTAACCAGAACTCAGGGCACTTGGTGTTTGGATCTCACTGGTCTGTCATTCCAGGGTTCTTTCTTTCCAACCCTTATGTACCCTATGCTTTCCAAGGGTATGGTGGCAACTAGCTAATTTCACAGGAGATACATGGAAACCCCTGAGCTCACCTAGTCCTCCCTGTCATTCTAGATGAGAAGACCTAAGCCCAGAGAGGGCAAGAATCTGCTCCAGACCACACAGCAAGTCGATGGCAGAGCCAGTCCCAGAACCCCAGTGCCTGCTTGCAGACTGGTGGGCTTTCCACCACAGCCTCTGCTCTCGCCCCCACTCCTGGCCAGCCTGTGCTCAGGGTAGAAGGAAGGGAGGGGCTTTCGAAGGAGCCCTGCAGGCCTCTGAGCGGGGCTGCCCTCCCGCCCCTCAGTTCTGGCTCAGCCTGCTTTACCTGCTCCTATCACCACCGCGTCGTACTCAGGCTTCAGGCGTCCCCTCGCTTCCCAGTGAGCTCGTCTCCACCCTGGGCGGAGAGAGGCGCCCACGGCCCTGCCGAGACCTCCGCTGCTTACAGCCATTTCTGCCCAGTGCTAGGCCAGGAATTTGCTTACAATCAGCTTTTTGTGCTCCCCAGGCAGGGGGAGGAGCAGGAAGAAAGCAGGAAGAGAGGAGGAGCTGCGGTCCAGCGGCTGCACTTGGCTTTGGGCCACGAGTGAGTGATCAGAAGACACTGTGAGTGCACGTGGCCCCGAGTCTACATGGGGTGGAGTCTACACGGGGCGGAGTCTACACGGGGCGGAGTCTCTGGAGGTCACCTATTAACGGAGCAGAAGCTGTGCTGCCTCCGGAGAGTATTCCCAGAGCTGATAATTGTCTAGGGCTCCCACATGCCAGGCGCTGGGCTGACCACAGCCATGCAGCCTCTCACATAAGCCCCAGAAGCCCCATTTTACAGACGAGGGCACTGAGGCTCAGAGAAGGGGTGAGCGTGCGCAGTGTGTGTCGGTTCTGGTGGAGCCAGACAGGGTTCCAAAGGCCCCCTCCTCCCTGTGCTATCCTGCCTCTCGTTAAGGAATTAAACGTCCAGGACGTGCTGGGATGGGAATCCTGAGAGAGACACTCAGGTCAGACTGTCTCAACTCCCTGTCCTCCCTGCCCATAGCGTGGTGACTGCGCTACACCCACAGGACCAGGGAGGCGCGGGCCGAAGGTCTCCAGACCAACCCCTAGCATCGCATGCCCGCAGCCTCAGCAAAACTGCAGGATCGCCACATCTGTCACCGGGGCCCCAGAGAGCCTGCATTCTCTCCCCATCGCTTCAACACCATGTGCTCAACAGGCTGCTGAGAAGCTCCAAGGGCTTCTCTCTAATTACTGGGGTCCGCCTTTTTCTTTGGAAGCCTGGGCATTTCTCTTCTGTCGTTTGGCACCTTTCCCATTTTCCCAAGCTCCCATCTGTAAATATCTTCAGCTAGAGTGCTTTCTTGCTGTCCTCTGGCCTGTCTTGATTAGGAGCCCTTTGTTCTCCGCCCACTAGCCTGCAGGCCATCCCCCGGTAGGAAAAGAGCACCCTAGGAGCCAAGTGTCTGTCCTGCTCTGTCATCTGTCAGTGTTCTAGAAAGCCGCTTTCAGACACGCATCTCAGGGTCGGAAGAATATGTGAAGGTGCTTCTGAGTAAAGGGCTTCCTGAGGACACTGCTGCTCTCCAATCCGACACCCTCCACATGCCACAGAGGGTTCCTACCACGTGTGACTCTCTGCTAGAACTGACTCAGGATGTGCACCCAGTGTTGTCGCGATATTGAAAAACTAAGAGGACTGGTTAAACTAGACCTGTCACATCACACAGGTGCTAAAAATTAAGGGAAAATATTAGGTGACAAAGTGGGGATGTGGGATCCTAGACAGCAGTGGGCTTCTAGGCTTCATTTTTCCCCTTTGAGCTCTTCTCTATTTTCCACAATCAATGTTTTAAATTTCCATCTGTGAAGCCACATTGAGAAGGAACACCGTCCTGATCATCTCAGGTGACTCTGTCTCTCACTGCCACCTTCTGAGGACTTTAGCCCGAGGTGTGGTCCTAGGTCCTTCAGTACCTCTATCCCCGCTAAGCTGTTCCCTTAACAGGAAAGAACAGTCTCCTTCGCATGAATTTCAGCTCAGGACACAGAAGGCCTGGCCACCGGCTGCACGTCTGTGCATGAGGCCCGTGCTGCTCTGCTGCGCTGGGCACTGACTTCTGCCGCAGCACTTCTCTCCACCCCAGCAGTGGCCTCTGGACGCTGCCCACTCCCAGTCTCTGATGGTCCATTGTCCTTGTGTCCATTCTAGGGTGGGGACTTCTAGGTTAGAGGAGAGGGGCTGTGGCCCCCGGGCAGTGGTTCTCAATCCAGGGCACCCCAGCATCGCCTGGGAAGCTTTTAAAAACCTCAAAGTCTGGGATCCACTGGACCGAGTGACACGAATCTCTGGGGCAGGGCCTGGGCAGGAGAAGAGAACAGAGCAGGGCACAAAGGGCCAGGACTTCACAGGGCTTATCGGCACCAAGAAAGGCCCAGGAGCCCAGACTTGCTGGGCGTGAATAACAATAAACGTAACCAGCATTTATTGAGCACCTGCGCATGTCTGGGGCCCTCACAACCATCCTGAGAGGTGGTGCTAAACGTGGGGAGACAGGTGAGAGTGTAGGAAACCTGCCCAGAGCCGCAGAGCTGGAATCACGCCCAGCCAGTGGAGCCCCTTTCATCTGGGAGGCAAATGGCTTCCCGAGGGAGGGAGTTCTTTCTCCACTCCGAGAACAGCAGGAAAGGAGGGTGTCTCCAGACACCCGCGGGCACTGGGGACTTCTTCCCTGTCTCCTGGGGATAAACGAAGAGGCAGTGTGAAACAGTGGCTGCCCTAGCTCCAACCTCACAGCCACTGCTGTTATAAGGAGACCAATGGAACCCCCTGGCCTCCCTCCTCCTCCAGAGGGAAGGAGTGGGGGTTTGTTCACAACCCCGTGGAGCCTGGTCTAGGTGGAATTTCTTTAAGAAACCCTGGGGCTGCCCTGGAACTCTGTGCCACCCTCGGGTGGCCTCCAGGACCAGGAGGAGGCTCTTGCCGTGAGGATGTTTGCAAGCGGGGTTGGGCCTGGAGAACCAGGACGCACAGGCAGACTGCACTGGGGCAGTCCGGGCTGGCCTAGAGCAGGGGGACGCGCGAGGCCTCCCACAGGCGCCGGGCCAGCTCGCCGGCCTGCTGCACCAGCACGTCCGTGGGGATGACCGACAGGTGGAGGGCTAGCAGCTCGTAACACTTGACAGCCTCAGCCGGGTGGCCCTTGCTGTAGTATCGCAGGAGCTTCCTGGGAGAGGAAAGGGAGGACAGGATTCAGGAGCGAGGCCCTGGCACTGCTCCCAAAGCCAGGGGCCTCTCCCGGCACCGTGCAGGGACTCAGTCACCACACTAGGACCCAGCATCCGGGCCAGCGAGGCCTTCTCTGCCTCTCGCTGACCTCACCTTACGAGGCTCAGCCCCAGGCTGCTACGGTCCATCCCTTTGGGTTCTCCAACCTGCATGGCGTCTATTGATGGCAGTGTCCTAGCTAAGGGATGCCACAGAGCCAGCAGGCAAGTTCTTCTGGAGACCCAGGGCAGAGGTTGGCAAATGCCGCTGAGTGTGCCAACCTAAGATGGGCAGAAACTCACATGTGCCCCCACTCTCTTCCTCTCACTGAACACTGAGCCAGACTGTGAGGAGCTTCTAATGAGGTTTCTCGCTTCTTGGGAGGCAATCCTGAAGGAGGAGCTGCTCCCCCATGAGGGAACAGGCACTTATCACTCAGCATCTGTGCACCCGCTGTTCCCGGCAGCCTCCCGAGTGGGCCTCACCTGTAGTAGTCTCCCCCCAGCATGCCGACGGGGGCCGAGTCATCGGACAGGACAGGCACCTCCATTATCTGCAGCTTGTACCCCTGAGGAAGAAGGAAAAGGGTCTGAATGGGGAGGTGGTGGAAAGAATGTGGGCTGAGTCAGACACAATAGCTGTCACCCGGCTCAGCCCTGCTTGGTATGTGCTGGGTCCCTGGGAAAACACATGGGCCTCTTTTTACCGTTTTCTCATCTGTGAAGTGGGAACAACAATAAGCTCCTGATGAACATCAGAAACAACGTATATAAAGCTCTAAGCACCGTGCCTGGTACGTGGCAGCTCTCATTCCCATCCATGAGTGGACCTGGGTATTGAGCGATGGGCATGTGCTCCGGAGGGTGACCAGAAAGGTGTCACAAAGAGCAAGGTGTCACCAAAAGGCCCACGTCTCTCCTTGAAAGCAGTGGGCACTCCGGGGAGGATAAGGAGGGAAGGGGAATCAAGATCCACTGGGCACCCACTGTGTGCCAGGCACAGTCATGTGCCCTCCAAATGCTCGTGTGGGACCCATGGGCCCACCCTGCAGGTAAGGAGGTGGACTCGGCAGTGTCAAGTGGCCGCCTACGACCCCACAGGTGCAGCCAGCCTTGACACCTGCACACCAGTCTCCCTCCCAACAGCTCTCCTTCAGCCTGTTACCCCGTGGGACCATCATGCACACAAAGCCATCTCTCTCCCTAGAAGCTAAGGGAAGGTCATCCACACAGCCTGGGAACTTCCGAGGAGGGCACAGAGCAAAGACGGGAGCCTGCAGGTCAGGAGAGCTGAGCCTGGGTTCTGGCTTCATTGTTTATGACGTCGGTGGCCCTGGCCACGGTGTTGGATCTGTAGGGCACCACTGTCTCCATCTGTAAAACGGGGCCAATGACACCTGGCCCAGCCACGGTGCGGGGCTGCGCGACGTGAGGCTGTGAGAGACCCCAACAACCACACTGCACTATGGAAAGGGGCGGGCCATCGCTCTCAGGGTGAGGGGAAGGAGGGCTCGTGCGGAGAACAGAGAGAGGGCAGGGCGTGAACAGGGAGGGGACAGAACAGCGACCAAAGGAATGTGAGGGGTGGAAGGAGTGGCCCTTAGAGACCTGGGACAATGATTAGAGGTGACAAGTGTGGAGAAAACAAAGAGAGAAACAGGAAAGGGAAGAGGAGAGACAGAGCGAGAGAGGGGCGGGGGAAGATGCAGACAAGGCCCCATGACCTGTGCTTACACCATAGTGACTGTAGGTTTGGGGAACAGGGCCAGGAGGCAAGAGACCCTAGCCACACTGTCAGCGTCACCTTGGGCAGGACAGGTAATTGCTGTGAGCCTCGGTTTATCCACCTCTACAATGGGACCACAGTGTGCCACACTTCCTAAATGGAGCTGATGATGGTGAAGCGCCACTGAGGAAGCACGGATCCGAGCAGCCTTTCTCACGTGGGGCAAGCGTCCATCTGCTCACATGTTACCTGGACGCTGCTCTGAACGATGGCATGAGCTTTTCAGACAGCTGGGTGGAGGGATCACAGAGCCTGCGTGCATATGGGACCTCTGAGTTCTGGTCCTGACCAGCTGTGCTTACCTGTCAGCTCCACCAGGGACGAGAAGAGATGAAGAGACAGACAGACTGAACACAATCCAGAAGAGAGGAGTCCAAGAGTCACAGGGAAGGAAAACATTTCAGGACTGTCCTGCCGGGGGCCTGGCCACCCACCATCTCGTTCTCGAACCACAGGAAGTAGGAGCAGTAGAAGTCGCCCTCCTGGAACAACAGCGTGGTGTAGCCCTTCTGCAGGTATCTGCGCGCCAGCCGGATCAGAGACCAGACCTGGGGAAGGAGGAGGAGCGCTCAGCACCGGCTGACGGCCACAGCCTGCGGGTGGACCCCCTCCCCACCGCAGGGGCAGAGCGCAGGCTCTCGCCTCAGAGGGACGGACAGCTGCCGGAGTATGAGCTCCTTGAAGGCCAAGGGCCCCTCCTGCGCGTCTTCCTCCTTAGTGCCCGCACGGCATCGGCTCAGTGCAGCAGCTGGGGATGGACTAGCCCCCACAGCTGCTGTGATGATCAAATATACGTGAAGATGCTCTATATAACTTCATCACGCACACAAGCCGTAAATTAGTAAACTCAGCATTCAGGCCAGAAAACAGTCAGTGACACTGTTAATTCACACGCTAGGAGAAGAAGGTGTGGCCACCTGGAAACCCTCCTGCAGTCCAGGGCCGGCCACTCAATGGCCCCTCCAGGGCTGGGAATCTGGCATGGGTTCCAGGGCTGGGAATCTGGCATGGGTTCCAGCCTGGGACAGTGCAGGTAGGGTGTGTGAACGAGTGGCGCACCTGATCCAGGGGGTCCTCTGCTCCAGGGCTGAAGTCCAAACTAGGGCTCACCAGGGAGTCTGAGGGAAACACAGTGACTGAGGGACAATGCCTTAGGACCCCTCTGGGACAATCTCTGGCCTAATTCTAGGACTCCCTGATGCTGCCTGTGAACTGCCCGGGGGAAGGCAGCAGGGAAGCTGGGCTCCCCCATCTCCCTGGGAAAAGGTCTGATGAGCGCTCTCACCAAAAAGCTTAGTGGAAAGCATACACGATTCACTCCAAACCTGACCACAACGTAATGTCTAATTAAATCTGCAAACAAATATGTGGATTTGCCATATTTTTCAGGAAAGCAATTTGAAAACATGTATCAATAACCTTAAATACATTCCTCCCATTTGACTTAGTAACTCCATTTCTGGGAATCCTTATTGAGAAAATAATCAGGATGAGGACAAAGATGGATGCACAAAGGTGTGTACTGCAGAATTATTTATAACAGTGAAAGCCTGGAAACAATCTAAATGCTCAACACTGGGGAAACGGCTAAGTAAATTACGTTACCTTCACATGATGGACTACTGTGGAGTTGTTAAAAATCATGTTTATAAAGAATTAATGACATGAGGAAATGCATCAGATATAAAGCAAAGTGAAATGTGGTGAACACAACTGCACACACAGAATGATCTCAACTACAACACACTGCACAGAACAACAATGAAGGAAATGTACTAAGAAACCCAACTATCTCCGGGAAGAGGATGAAGATGAAGATGCTGATGCTGATGATGGTACCAGTAAACACTCAACAAATTCTATCCAAATTTTGTGCCACATACAGAGCTAAATGTTTTAGATGCATCATCTCATGCGTTTGTAATCTTTGTGATAATTCTATGATGTCAATAGTATTACTATCCTCTTTTACAGATAAGGAAAGGGAAACTGAGACTAAGTAACACCCCAGGTCACAGAGCTGGTGAGGGGCAGAGCTGGGACTCCAACACAGGCCTCCTGTCACCCATCTTATATTCACTATTATGATATACTTTATTTGGACACACACAATATATACATATGTCGTGTACTATAGTATATTATACCATGGTACATAGTATTAATATCTATATAGTAGATAAATGTATATATACATATACTAGTTTGCCATGAAGCAGTTAAGGAGAATAAACGAACCCCCAGGGAATATTTCCTTAGTAGAAACCACCTAGTTTTAAATTCTTCTGATACTCAGATTGATTAACTTGTGTTTCTTCTTTCTGTTTTAGTTAATTCAACAAATACTTACTGGGCATTTATTTATGCCCAGCCTGGTGTCAGTTTCCGGCCATTCCCTCCTCTGACCTTGCTGCCCAGACTGCTCATCCAGGCATGTCAGAACACACCCAGGAAGAACCCCCCGACACTGACTGAGGACCACAAGGCCCGGGTGCTGACTGGACCCCTAGGGTGACGAAGATAAGCCACTATTCCTAGGAGCCTGCAGAGCTGGGCGTGGACGCTGACAGAAGAAGTCAGGAGAGGTTAAAGTGGGTGTGCTCAGAGCCTCATGCGAGCCCCACCCCAAGGGCAGGGGGCTAGCTGTTGCCTGGCAGGGGTCAGGCCAGCACGTCCTGTCTGATGGGCAGTGGAGAGAGCCCGGCCTGGGCAGCAGTTACCTTGGTTCTGATGAAGGCGGCCAGGGGCCCCTTGCCCAGCTCCGATGAAGTCCTTTCACTGCTGCTGAGGGAAGGGGCCACCATCTGCCCGGTCGTGCGGTCCACGTAGATGAAATGCACCAAGCCTGGGAAGTCCTCTAGGTACGTGAAGGTTGGAGTTAAGGTGCTCGGAAAACCAGGAACCCGGGAGGGCACTACTCTGTCCTGGACCTGGGCTTCCAGCAAGGCTAAGCCGTGGAGTCGGGAGGCCAGGCCGGCCAGGCCTGCCACCCCTGCCCCTCCTCACGGGTTTCCATCCCAGCAAACCCTCTAGTATCCCCTCTTCCCCAATCATTCTTTACCTCCAAACCCCTAACCCTGAGAAGTTCTAAGATGCGAGTACAATGGATCCTTGACACTAGTACATTTAACACGGGAAGTTCTGGACCCAACAGGAACATGGTATGTTCATATTTTATCATTTTCATGAGGGATGAGTTTAAATTATACACACGGTGAGGCTGGTGTGAGAGCAGAGCTACAGAGCTAATGAGGCAGCCTAGCTGACCACCCGGCCCACACAGCTCACCGTGATTTTGTTCAGCTCTACACTTCATCTCGAGAGGTTGGATGGTTCCCATTTAGCAGAGAGGGGAACAGACACCCATGGAAGGGCGGTGGCTGGTGGTTAACCAGGCCCTCTGTCATCCCTTTCACCTGTGTACTGAAGACAGCAGTCTCAGGAGACTGGAGGCCTGACCCTTTACAGATTTTAATATCAGAAAAACTGCTTTATAGAAAGTTCCAGGGAAAAATCAGTATTTGGTAAAACTAATGTTCCATAATAAAAGGACCACATAAGTCTTGGACATGGTTTTTTAAACAGGGATAAACAAAGTTACTGCAGGCCTTCTCAGATCCTTCACAGTCCACTGTGAAGTATAACCTCTGAGGAAGAGGACACAGCCTCTCAAACCTACCTGACCCAGGACACCCCCTCATGGAACACCTGTTACCACGGCTGGACAGCACCGACCTGAACCATCTTCAAGGCCTTAATGAAGTAACTGTGGGACAGCAGGGGTTTCTGAAATTTCAGCCTCGGAGCGTTTCTAAGAGAAGGCACCCTGGACACTATCTCCTATTATTTTTCTTCAGAGAAAAGCAGTTGAGGTGGTGGAACGCACGTTCTCCTTCCCCAAAGCCCGCAGTCCTTCAGAGTGAGCAGGTGGAGGAGACAGGCAGACACGAGGGGCTTTTCTGGGCCGGCTCGGGGCGAGGGCACCAGGATATGACACCATGGTGACGTTCCTCCTGCTCTTCACCAACAGAAAGTCCTTCCAGTCCATTAGCTTTTCTCTGCAGGGGAGGCAGGGGAGGCAGGGTGCGGTGAGGCGAGCCCCCTGCGCCCGCTCTGCCTACCGAGGGGCCACAGCTGCACTTACTGCATCAGCTTCTGGACCTGGTCCTGCAGGTGCTGGGGCAGCTGGGGGCCTCCCCGGCCTGGAGCCGTGCTCAGGAAGCTAAGACGGTAGATGGCACAGAGCTGCCGCTTCACCTTCCCGCACGCCTGCAGCAGCCTGGGCGCCAGGGGATGAGAACGTCACAGTGGGAAGGGCCCGGGGAGAATGAGTCGTCCCTTGTGGTCACCCTGCTCCTGACTGATGGCAGACACAGCTGATGAAGCACACCCTCGCCCTCAGTAAGCCGCGGGGCAGCGTCCTAGTTTCCCCCCAACATGATGCTCCATGCACACGGCTGCATGGTTTATTTTGCTGATAAATGAGGAGCAGTGACTTGCTCAGGGTCGCACCCAGTCAGTGGTGAAGCTAGGCCGGACACAGACCTTCTAACCCCCGTGTTGGGTCCTCACAGCTCTGCTCAACCTCTAGCCTCTCTGCTTCCCAGTGCCCCTCTGGCAGCCGCAGGCTGGACCCTGCTCTCCCAGGACCCCCTCTGCCCTCATAAGCACCTTCCTGAGCATTCTCCCCCTCTTGGCCTGGAGGAAACAGCCTCTCTGTCCAAATGACTTCCCCCATCCCCAGAGCCCACCACTCACTCCCAGGACGATGCAGGTTCACTCCTGGAGAAGGCCTTGGTCTTGAACTCCAGCCAGGTGCTCTGTAGAAGGACAGGTGACAGGTCACAATGATAGGTGATGATATTCCCACAGTGAGGTCGAGGGGAGACCCTTCCGAGTCGGGCTCTGAAAGGTCACCACACCTCCTGACAGCTTCAGTATTTAGGCTCAGCACACACCTGCCCTCGCACAGCCACAGGTAGGTCTCTGGCAGGTGCCCCCAGCTCTCTGCACCCCGCTACACGACATTCTGTTTACAGTACGCATTTATTTGAAAAGTAGCTTCTGTGTGTCATGTCCTGGGCTCACTGTCCAGCTGGCAGACAGGTAAACTAATGCTGTCAGAGTGACAGGGCAGGCTTCCAGGGCGGGGTGGACACGGGGCAGCGGGTGCTGAGGAGGAGCCCTGGGCCTCTCCTGACAGGGGAATCTGCATTCTAACATGGTGCATGTGGCCACGCCCGGAGGCACTGTCAGACACCAAGGAGCCTTCTGACTCCTGGAGCGGAGCACCGGGGTCTGTTTGGGTGCGGGCTTCAGTTGCTTGCTCTGCCTCCTCTAATCCTTCTGGCTCATTTTTAGACCAACACACACTCCAGCCACCATGAACCACAGTTTCTCAAGCAGACTCAAGTGCTGCCAGCTGCGTGAGCAGCCCCAGTGGCTTACCCAGGTGATCCGCCCCTCCCGAACTTCCTGCTAGGCTCCCGACCAGACTGTGCCATTTTTTACTTTTTATGCGTTGTCCCCCCCCTCCTGGCCTCATCGCCTAACCTGGGCTCTAAGCCCCCGGAGGTGGGAGTGGTCTCTGTGTCCTGCTCTTGTGTGACCTGCCTCACTGTGACGGGCGCCACAGGCAGACCGCTGGCCATCACTGAGTCATCGAGTCAGGCTTTGGCTCCAATGCTCACCAGCCCAGAAATCCTGGCCAAGTCACCATCTACCTAAGCCCAGTTTTCTCATCTAAAAAATGGGAATTATAATTCGTGTTCTACCAAACTCACATAAAAATGTTCTGAAAATGTCAAGTGCCGCTGTAAGTTTTTGTTCTCATTTGCTGACGGGGAAATGAGGATCACAAACCTGTGGCCCTCCCCGGGGTGTGGACAAAACAGGCCCAGCCTCCTCTCCCCGAGGCAGGTGTATCCGGGGTCCGGGTCTCACCTGAATCTCTTGCCCCCCACGATTCTTGACAAACTTGTCCATCCTCTGGCGCAGGTCCCCCATAAGGGGGTGGGACCGTAGGGTGCTCCCGGCCTCCTGCCCCTCCTTCAGCCTCTTCTCCAGCAGGGAAAACCCGTCCAGCAGCTGGTACAGGGCCAGGGCCAGGGGCGTGCTGGGGCTCTGAGGGAAGAAACGCAGGGCAGGGCGCATGTACAGCCGTGGGGAGGGCGTCCAGGCCGGAGGATCGCTGGGGTAGGTGGGGGCGCTCTACCTTGGTCAGGAGCACCATGTTGATGCCCGGCCACAGGGGCAGGCAGTACATGGTGTGGGGCACCATGGGGCAGTAGCTCTCTTTCACACTGGCATCCAGGAAAATCCTTCTGGGGCTGGAAGGTCCCGGGGAGCCAGGGAGCAGCGTCTGGAGGGTGTCCTCAGCCATCTGTGGAGGAGGATGAGCTGTCGGTGGAGGGGGCGGGGGAGCATCTGGATCCACCCGCGGCTGCCCATGCGCTGTCCTCCCTGTGCACCAGTTGGGGTAAACACCTGCAGCTCCAAGAAAGCCCAGTTCTTCCATCCCCGCACTCGGTGGAAACTGCCCTGGCAGCTCCAGGACTGCTGCCTGCTGTCTCGCACTCAGCTTCTCCCGGGCCCTTCTGCCTGGAGTCAGGACTGGACGCCAAGCAGGGACGGTAGGGGGTAAAGAAGGGACGGAGGAGGCAGGACAAACGTGGGGGGAATGAGGGAAGAGGCTCCCTCCCCACGCCTTCACTGGACGAAGGCGTTTAGATAACATTCTGTCATTTCACCACCCCCAGGACAGCCTGCCAGCCATTCCAATGGGGAAACTGAGGCATAAAATGACAAAATGAGCAAAACTCCAGCCGTATGGAGGGCTCTGAGTAAGCAAGCCTTTAGTGGGCAAAAGTAGAGAATTAAGGAAATCATTCCAGATGCCACAGAAACTTCTCTATAAGGATGTCACTGCAGTCTTATGATAACAGCAAAAAACCAGACACAATGGACTAGTTGTTCTGGGGACCTCCTCAATAAATAATAACATGGATGTGAGGGACTCTCGAACAGTCCTTAAATACCATACTGTTGAAGAGTGCCCAGTAAATGGGAAAACGATTAAAGAAAAACATATAATGAATCACCTTAGGATTCAAAGTTGGTAAAATAAAAAAAAATATGTGTAGTGTCTGTGTGTGTACATATATATAAAATCACAGGAAAGACCAGAAGGAAACACACAAATCTAATAGTAGTTAACATCTGGAGTGGGAGTGAGTGATTTTTATTCCTTTTCTATACTTTACTTTTGTATTTCCCAATTTTTCTACAATGAACATATTTACTTTCTCATTTAAAAAAACATTAAAAATTAAGTTGGAATCACTCCCAAGAACAGTGAGGAGGGTGAGGACTTCTCAGGAGCTGAGATCCCCCTTCACCCACCAACCCCACTGCTGGCCCCTGCCTCTGAGCTGAGCTCTGCCCCCTGCACTGACCAGCCCCGAGGCGGCAGGAGGAAGGCCAGGGCTGGTGCAGTCACCCTGGAGGAAAAACCCTGAGTCCCCAATGCTCACTGCAGCATCTCAGATCAGCCGGTGCCCCCACGGGACCCCTCCCCCAGGAGAAACTCACCTGGACCTGGGGAGTATCAGTGGGTGGGGTGCCCCCATCCAGCCAGACGGTGCTACCTGCAGGCCACAGGTAATAACATAACATGAATAACGGGAAAATGTAAACAGTGGCCAACAGCATGGCAGAGGGGACGCTCGTGCAGATGTGGCCCCGCCCCATCAGTAGCTCCCAGCCCCTGGCAGGGAGGGGCAGGGGCATGGTGGTGGGGGCTGCAGCAGCACTGCCCTTCCCATCCTATCCCAAGCCGGCAAGCGCAGGGTCAACTCTAGGGTACCCAGGCTAAAGCAGCCTGGGCCTGGGGAAGGGAAGCTCTCCCCAGAGCCAGTGGCTGGGAGCAGGCTCCTGAGGGTGTGCCTGGCAATGGTGGGGGGGCGTGTTCCTCTGCCCCCTTAATCCCCTCCTTGTTTCTGCCCTCTCCATTCCTTCAGGCCCCCTCTCTGGCTATAACAGGGCCTCTTCACTAGGAGGCGGCACACATGCTCTACCATTTCCCCCGCCACGGAGTCAATCAGGAAACTTTCACTGAGCACCTACTCTGTGCTGGGAATTGAGCTAGACTTCCTTTCCTAGGACAGCTCACAAAAACCTACTGAACCGCTCCATATTTGACATATGATGTTTGTAACAATAGTGTTCTCTCTTATAGTTCACTGCAAATAACTATCATTTATAATCATGTTTCTCTGGGGAAGCCTGTTCCTGCGTTTCAAACACCTGATTTACAAATGGATGACTGCAACTTAAGCTATTTGTAAGCTGTGAGTTCCATGCACTGTGGGATGGCATTACTCACAGCTCTGAGGCATAAAAAACTAACCACTGGGAGAAAGGGGCCAGGAGAAGGATCATGATGAATGAGGGAAGGGAGCAGTAAGAAGAAAAAGGAGCTTCCCAGAGCGGTGCTTCTCTACGTGTGCTGGGCTCACGGAGAGCTCAGAGAACCCGAGGACAGCTATGCACCGCGGCCCCAGAGAAACAGGCAAGCGCACGTGAGCTGGGGCATGATCTCAGGGGGCCCAGGCTCCTTGCAGCCCATCTGAGGACCTAAAGTTAAAACATCTAACCCAGTGGTTTTCAGCAACTACTCGTGCAGTGGCTGCAGGAGACCTTTTAAAAATCCTGATGTCCAGGCCACACCCCAGACCAATTAAGTCAGAATCTCCAGCACAGGCCCAGCTTCAGTTTTTAAAGACCACCCCCATCCCCTGTCGAGCCAGCCCTCATGGTTAAAGTTCCATGCACTCCGCTTCAGCGGCCTGGGTTCGGTTCCCCGGCATGGAACCATACCACTTGTCTGTCAGTAGCCATGCTGTGGCGGCAGCTCACATAGAAGAACTAGAAGGACTTCCAACTAGAATATACAACTACGTACTGGGGCTTTGAGGAGGGGGAAAAAAAAAAAAAGCGGAAGATTGGCAACAGATGTTAGCTCAGTGTGACTCCTTCCCAGCAAAAAAAAAAAAAAGACCCCCAGTGAGCCCACTGTGCAGCCAGGGCTGAGAACCACTGCCCTAACCTAAATCTGTGCAGAGCAGTGGTTCCCATTCTGATGCTCACTGGCTTCACTGGGGAAATTTCTACAAGTATTCACACCTGGGCCCCAGCCCTTGGCCTATGTATAGCTTAATTGGTCTGGCTAAAGCCACCCAGATGATTCTAACACGCAGCCACGGTCGAGACCACTGGTTTAAGGACGCCACACAGTAAATCCCTTTCAAAACTCAGTCCCTGAGAAGTGTCTCCTCCGGAAACGCTGGCCCCCTTTCTTCTATCAGTGACGTGACCACACCATCCTTCGTTTTCCCCAAGAACTTCAGGAATAAGTGTGATGCTCATTCATAGTGACTACAATAGTCTGGATTTTGGCTTATCTATTTCTCTAAGCAATGCTGTCTTTTTTGTTTTGTTAATAACATTTTGAATATTTCTAGTTTCTTTTTACTGTTTACCCACATACTTTGGAAAAACAGATAAGGTATAAACTACAGAGACTGAATATCTATATTCTGAATCATTGTACTGAAATCAAATGATTACTAATTTTAATTACTCGATTACTTAGGTATAAAAAAAGAGAAGGCAGAGAACACACATAGGAGAGAGGAATTTTTACATGAAATCAACTTGTCATAAAAAGTTTTAGGAATCATTTGAGTGGCCTTAACGGTCCTTGAATTCAAGCCGGAGCTGGCAGGGTAGACGGGGGGAGCTGCAGACAGCATCCCGTGCTCTAGGAATCTGGGTGTCTGTGCCTGGGCGCTTACAAGATGTGGAGGTCCACGGAGCCCTAAGACAGAGAGTCCCGGGGCTGCCAACTGGCATCTGCCTCCTCCCCCTCCTGCTCCTCTCCTCCCAGGTCTCACCTGAACTCTGCTCCCCAGGAGAAGGAGCCGGTGTGAAGTACTCCTCAGGGAGGGAGCTGTCTGTCTCCTGGGAGGGAGAGAGGGCACCTTAGGCTGAGGGCTCCGAGAGGCTTGCCCAGCAGGCTCATTTTGGCCCCCACTCTCCCGGGAGAGGCAGACCCTCCCCGCTCCCCTCCACGTGGTGCACAGCACATACAGTCCCTGCAGAACTCCTCCTGGTCCGGCCTGTAGAGCGAGGGCTCCAGGCCTGCTGCACGGGAATGTTCTGGCTGCTCCGGCCCCTCCATGGGGAAGGCTGCGATAGGCGCAGGAGAAGCTGGTTAGAGCATGTCTGACCAGCTCTTCCCCACTGGTCCTCCAACCCCCAGCACTTCACAGCACAGCCCTCAGAGCAGAGGGCCACGCAGGGCCCTGTACCCCACTGCACCTTGCTGTGCCCCCCTCCACTGCGCAGCCCTGGGTATGTGTCCCCACTTTCCAGAGATATTTCAATTCTGGCTGGTCTAGTCTTTTTCCAGAACCACCAAAATTTCAGAAAATTCCAACTGGCATCCAAACCAGGACTACCACCACCACCACTGATGAGGATGAGGATCACAATGGTAATGGTGGCGGCTGGCACACAGGGAGCGTTCACTACACACCAGGCAGGGCTGGGCTGGGCTCTAGGTGAACTGTCTCCTTCATTCCTCACAATCACCCTGAGAGGAAGATGCCATCACTGTTCCACTGCATAGACGAGGGAACTGAGGCTCAGACGGGGCAAGTACTTGCCCAGCTCACATAGCTAAGTGGTAAAGTTGGGACTGACTCCAAAAATCTGCACTTTTAACCCACTGAACAACATGCATTCTAGAATTCCCCTTACATCCTGAAAGCAGCAGGAAAAAAGTCATGCCCAACCACACTGTGACTTGGAAACCATGGCCTCCCATGCAGCCTGCCCCGCACCCTCCAGACCGGTTTTCTGAGCCGTCTCCCTGATGGCCACCCGCTGCCCAGAGAGCTGCCCCGGACCTGAGTGTCATCATCCTCCGCTGTGCTCTCGCTGGGGTAGAGGTCCTGAACCAGGAGAATGAGGGCGAGGAGGTCGGCTGGGCGCAGGGAGCTGGCGCCATGGCTACAGAGCAGAACAGACAGCCAGTCAGCACGTGCCCGGTGTCCCCAGCGCCCTGCAGGTGGCAGTGGATGGGGGCAGGTGGGTGAAGGGAGACTGCAGCACGGTCCCTGGCCTCAAGGAGTTTATGGATGTGTCAACTGACTTCATCCCTTTTGGAGAAAGGCAAGGTATAAATAAAATTAACTCATCAATTTTTAAAATAAAACTTGGTTGTGTTAAAATAAAACAATTACCAATGGGAAACCAGCAGGGACGAGTGTCAGCATATCAGGAAGTCCTAAATTCAGTCTCTGAGACAGTGTTCCAGGAAGAATAATTCAGAGAAGGGAGTGAGCCGAGAGGGGCTGAAGAACTGAAGAATCGGAGAAGGCCTCTTGGCAGAGATGGGTCTTGAAGGTTTTCTTGGCCAGGGAGGAGGTGCTTCTCAGAGGGAGGGGGTGAGAAGGGGCGAGGGAGAGCCGGGGCCTTGGCTCACCTGGAGTAGAAGGCCAGCAGCTTGGAGTGCACGAGCAGGAGGGCGTGCAGGGCCTCCTCGCTGGCCCGCTCGCGGCTGCAGTTCACGGCCTGGATGACGTCCTGCTCCAGCGCCTCGATGCACAGCTCACAGAGCTGGGGGTGAATCAGCCGCTCCACGGCCTGGCCACAGGCAGGCAGAGAGAGGAAGCCACGTCACCCACCACCATCTCCTGCTCCAGGCCCTGGCCGGTGGGTACATTCACTCAGTCCACACTGAGCACGTACTACGTGCCAGACACTCGGGAACAGGGAGACTCAGACCCGTACAGTCCCTGCCTTCCTGGGCCTAACAGTCTGGTCACTAGACTCTAGTGGATGAGACAGATAATATGCAAGGAAGCAGACTAAGTAAGTGCCGACTGTAGTAAGTGCTAAGTAGGAAATACATAATACTGAACTAGAGAAAAATAGCAGAGACCTACTTGGGTACGGTGCTCAAAGAAAATGTCCCTGAGGAGGTGACCTTTAAACTGATATCTAAGGAACAAGAAAGCCTGCCAGAGAAAGAGGGAGGGGAGAAGTCTGCAAACCGAGGAAAGAGCATATGCAAAGGCCCTGAGGTGGGGAGAGAGTTTGGAGCAATGCTGTCCAAGTGAATATAAGGCAAGCCCTATGTGTAATTTAAAATTTCCTACTAACTACATTAAAAAAGAAACAAGTGAAAATTTTAATAGTTTACCCAACCTATCTAAAACATTGGCCTTTCCACATGCAATATAAAAGCACTGCTAATGGGATGTCTGACATTCTTTTTTTGTACTAAGTCATCAAAATCCAGTATATATTTTACAAGCACAGCGTAACTCAATTTGGACTAACTACATTTCAAATGTTCAACAGCAACATGTAGCTAATGACTACCATACTGCACAGAACTAAATGCCGGGTCCTCCTGAAATGGAGAGAAGTCCCAGGTGGCCAGTGCATAGTGAGTGAGGACAAGAGAGGCTTGAGATGAGGCTGGGCAAGACAGGCAGCAGCAGATCATACAGAGCCCAGCAGGCTAGAGAAGGAGTTTGGATTTTATCTTAACTGCATTAGATCACCTCCTACAAGAAGCCTTTCCTGATGCCTCAGAAAGAGCTGACCACACCGTCCTTTGTGCCTCCGTGGATTTTTTTTTTTTTTTTTTTTTTTTTATGAGGAGATCAGCCCTGTGCTAACATCCGCCAATCCTCCTCTTTTTTTGCTGAGGAAGACGGCCCTGGGCTAACATCTGTGCCCATCTTCCTCCACTTTATATGGGACGCCGCCACAGCATGGCTTGCCAAGCAGTGCGTCGGTGCGCGCCCGGGATCCGAACCAGCAAACCCCGGGCCGCCGCAGCGGAGCGCGCGCACTTAACCGCTTGCGCAACCGGGCCGGCCCCCTGTGCCTCCATGGATTTTGATGGGAAACCTAATATGGCAGCATCCAGGATACTTTACTGTATTTTTTAGTAGATATGTACGGCTGATTTGCCTCAAGGGCAGAGACTTTGTCTTTACTCATCTCTGTATTCCCAGGGCCTGGCGAACCTCTCAGCATATAGTAGGTACTACAGGCTTATTAGAAGAGTGAGAAGGAGTGTGAAAATGAATTCCTTCAGATCTATTTTCCAGTTCACTAATTCTCTTTCAAGCTATGTCTCATCTACTACTCAACCCATCCCTCGAGGTTTTCATTTTAACGATTATGTTTTCATTCCTAAAATATCTATATGGGTTCTTTTCTCGCTTTCACGTCTTTAAATATTTCATAGTTATTCTATACTCTATACCCAATAATTGCCATATATCAAGCTCCTTGGGAATCTAAATCTGTTGGTGATCGATTCCCCCGACTCTCACTCGCGGTAGCTTATTTTCTTGTGTATCTGATCTTTATTTGTGACCTCCTAATTGTTTGCTCTTAATCTGCACTAGCATAACCTGTATCATCAGGGAACTTGTTAGAAATGTGAATTCTAGAGCCACCCCCCCCAACAAAATGAGAAACTGCGGGTGAAGCCCAGCAACTTGTGTTTAACAAGCTTTCCAGATGATTCTGATGCACACTGGAGTGTGAGAACCACTGATCCAGAGAGAATCTGTGTTCGTCTATACAGGGAGCCAAAGAGCACCACTGCCAACAGCCAGCTGAACTCCTCGGGCTGTGCTTCACGCGGAGGCTAGGAGTTCAGGCTCAGCCCCCATCTCGCTGCCAGCCTACGGCACGGTCTTCTGGCCATGGTGTTGGTATCATGATTTGCACTCAGCCAGTCCTGCCTTCAGGGTTGCTTATTTTTCACTGCTTTACACTCTAGTTTCAGCTCAATATAATTTCCAGGGGGGCAGGGCAGAGTTGAGGGGGCTATCTTCAGAGATTTCCATAATTTCTGGCCAGAAAGAGCAACTCCCTAAATGCATGACTTTCAGGGTCTGCCTCTGCCCTCACTCATCAGGGTCAAAACACAGGCTTAAAGCTGCACGACCCCTCTGATCCGACACCTCCACGGTCCGAGGACCCCCGCACCCAGTAGTCACCTCCACAGCAAAGCACTGCTCCTGCTCCCGTAGGCGGCCGTAGGTCCCCAGCAGGCTCTGGAAGTGCTCCCACACCTGGATGCGCTGCTCCAGTTCTGGGGGCCGCAGCCTAGGGGCAGAGCCAGAGAGAGTGCGAGACATCATGAAAAAGCCAGTTGTCCCCAACTTCAACCAAAGGAGCACAGTCCCAGTTCACTGTCAGAGCCAAGTGAGCCCAGGGGACATGACCAAACAACTGGGGGAGCCCACAAGCACAGCGGGGCCGAGCTCGGGCAGCCATGGAGTGGAGCGGGACGGGCACAGAGCCAGGATTCAGGCCCCCGAGCAAACCGCTCCTCTCTCAGTGTCTCTCACACAGAGACGAAGCCAGCGAGAGTCACCCAGGAAGGCGCCTGAGTCTCCTATACTCTCCCTTCTCCCACAGGCTACTGAAAACAGAAAACCTTGGGGATTTTAATCAGGGCCATATGAAGGGTTGTACCATCTCGAATGCTGACGAGACCTGAATCTGTAAACGTGGTCTGTGCAACAGGCACTCACTGCCTGCAGCATTTGTCGCTGACCCTGTGGCCTGCCTGGGCCCAGAGGACTCATGAAATGACGTGTGCTCTTTGATGAGTGCCTTCATAGGGGTACTGCTCACATCTCTACAACTCAAATGAGCCACAGTTTCAAACTCTGTAACTTCCCAATCCATATTTAAGAATCACCAGTGATCCCACCATGAACCTCTCTTCTGGGTCCACATTTCAACCAGGCTCCTTTTCTGGGGTCCTCCCCACATCACTGTATACTCTGAACCACCATTCTCCTTTGCCGGGGTCTTTACTGGGGGCCCAGAGATGATGGGTTTAGGGTCTGACTCCCCACAAAATGTTCACAAAATTGTATGTGTGTGCATGGGATGCTTTCTTTTGCACAAGAGTCTAAAGCTTTGAGAAGCCAGAGAGGACCAGCTCAGACCAGGTTTGTGATGACCAATGTTGGGGAGTAGAAAGGGCACCGGCCTGGGAGTCCTGAGCTCTGATTTCTAGGCTGGGTGCTGCCACCAACCAGCTGGATGGCCCTGGGCACGTTAAGTTGTTTGCCCTCGTTCCCTCATCTGTAAAACGAGAGGGTTGGATCAGATGATCTCCAAGCTTCCTTTGAGCTCTGCTTCTCAGACCCTGGGAGCCAGGCAGGGGCAGAGTGTGGACAGGCAGCTTCACAGAGGCTGTGCACACACTGCCTAGCCTCACGATGGTGCTTAGCAAAGGACACAGAGGGGACCAGCCAAGAGGACTCACTCCTTTCGGATGAGCTGGCCGTCCACGGTAACCAGCCCGAAGTGCACCTCGAACAGGTACTTGAGCACGCACAGCTTCCGCCGCAGGTCCCCCTCGCCCTCTGTGTGGTCTCCATTGACGGCAACGAACAGGCACTCTCCGAACTGTAGGCACAGTGGGCTGATGTCAGCCAGCCCCGAGGAACTCCCCTCACCTGCCCGGATCCCTGGGGACTGTGAGGGGAGGCTTGGGTCCCCGGGGGTTTTGTTAAGATGCAGTTTCTGCCTTCTAAAGGAGTCTAAAGCTCCAGATAAGGGAGAGGCAAGTGGACGCCCATGGAGCTGAGGGAAGAAGAACTCGGGCCCCAGGCTGCACACTCACCAGGTGAAGGACATACAGGTAGTTGCCGTTCTCCGTCGAGAAGCAGGTGTATGTGTCTGAGAGCTTCTCCAGCATCGTCATGGAGGAGATGATGACCGGGGCTAGGAGGGTGCTGAGCTGGTCCTCCAGGGCGGGAAGCTGAAGGAGGGGAAGAAAACAACACTCTTTAGAGTGCCAGATACCAGGACAAAGGCATGGACACGATCCAGGCCTTGCCATCAAGGGTCTCTATAGTTTTAGACCCACCTGGGAGGGTATCACTGTCCTGACAGGGAGGGGGCCAAAAAGAGATGGCCTCCAACACCTTGGGTGGTTTTAGGAAGGCTGGGAAGAGTCAGCCAGCTGACTGTGCTGTTCAGGCTCTGAATCTAGAAGGAAACGTTAAGGAATGAGGCCGCATCTCCACAGCACAACATCTGGGGCATTTAATGGAGAACCGGCCAACTCGAAGGAAGTCTGCGACATGAACCAAAGTCCACGCTCTTTGTTGCAGTAAGTCTACTTTGGGGAACATATCCTAAGGAAGATAATCAGAAACAGGGGCCAGGATACACGCACAAACTTGTTCCCTATCGCATAATTTATAGTGGCAAAACAACTGGAAAATATGCAAGTGCCCAGGGTAACAGTTAAATAAATAACAGTACATCTAAATGATGGAACAGGGCCGGCCCTGTGGCTTGGGGGTTAAGTGCGCGCGCTGCAATGCTGGTGGCCCAGGTTCGGATCCCGGGTGCGCATCGAGGCACCACTTCTCCATCCATCCTGAGGCCGAGTCCCACATACAGCAACTAGAAGGATGTGCAGCTATGACATACAACTATCTGCTGGGGCTTTGGGGGGAAAAAATAAAATAAATAAAATCTTTAAATGATGGAACAATATACAGTCACTTAAAATACTGGAGTCTTGCAACGACATGGAAAATTCCTCTGATACAATGTTATGTTAAAAAATTGGTTGTAAATGCTCTGTATTTTAAAATGCATAGAAAAAACAAAGTAATGAAAAAATATTAAAAAAACCAACATTGTTAAATTTATTATTTCTGGATAGAGGGATTATGAGTGATTTTCCCCCTACTTTTTGTATGTTTCTGTAATTTCTCTATTTCCTTAACAAGCATGCATTTACTTTTATAAGCTCTTCCCCCATCCATTCTCTCTGCCCTCCAAAATAAGGAACAAAACAAATGAAACCAAAAAGAAACCAGACAGATTTGTTGCAAATCTGTGAATAAATATGGGATAAAGCCAGGGGACAGCCACAACTCAAATTCTCATATTGGAAGGAAAAGGAAGGAGGCAAACAGCTGACCTTCCCCGGCTGATGTCAGGAACCTTGACAGAAAAAGGGAGAAAGCAGATCCTGACTCTGAGCTGGTGAAATCTGCAAGGAGCTGAGAAGGACCTTGCCTTGAAAAGAAAAACGGGCAACCGGCCAGTGGCAATGTGCAGCATTTAAAATATGAGTGGGACACAGCATCGTGGAGCATATTTTCTCCCAACATTCAGGAACCAAGGTCTGTGTCCAACTGCTGCAGAGTCTGTCAGTTGAGCTTGAACAATGGTTCTGTCTCATCATTCAGGTCCCAGCTCAGATGGCTCCTTCCCTGACCACCCTCAGGCCACCCTGTCCCAGTCACTCCCCATCCCATAACCTGCTGAACTTCTTCAGACCAGTTATCACTCCCTGAACCCACTGTATTTGCCATCGGGTTCATTGTATGTCATCCCTCTTCAGCCTCTAGGTTCCCCGAGAGCAGGGTCTTGTTGCTAGGTTCACTGCTTTACCCCCAGAGGCCAGCAAACAGTAGGTTCTCAATTAACATGTGTTGAATGAATACCCCTCCACATAGGCAAACACTTGTTGAATTATTTGCATACCGCAATTTTCTTGAACTGTCATGAATAAATTATATTAAACATCATTAACAAGCAGTTAAGTGCGCATGCTCTGCTGCGGTGGCCCGGGGTTCGCTAGTTTGGATCCCGGGCGTGCACCAACGCACCACTTGTCAAGCCATGCTGTGGTGGCCTCCCATATAAAGCAGAGGAAGATGGGCACAGATGTTAGCCCAGGGCCAGTCTTCCTCTGCAAAAAAAAGAGGAGGATTGGCAGATGTTAGCTCAGGGCCGATCTTCCTCACCAAAAAAAAAAAAAAAATCTAGATTGTGTACAGCAACTCACTTTAAAAGTAGTAAGTGTACAGCAATTCACTTTAAAAGCAGTAACTTTTTCCATACGTAGAGCAAGATTTTTTGGGGGGGAGATGAAAATATTTGGTGTAGGCAGAGTGCAAAGGGACATTCTCATATAGTACTTGGAGGAATTACAAAGTGGTACAATACCTTTGAATGGCATTTGACTAGATGTTTCTATTTTTAGGAATTTATCCTAAAGAAATAATGTGATGTGGGATAAAATTCAAGCACAAATGTTCCCTACGGCAATAGTTATAGCAAACTAGAAGCAATATACATGTCTAGTATTGGAGAAATGGTTAAACAAATGATGATACATTTATTCATATACTGGAATATAATGTTTCCATTAAGATTTATGCTTTTGAGAATATTTAACAAAATGGAATAATGCTTTTGATATAATTGCAAATGAACAAAAACAGGAAATCAAACTGTGAATGTGGTATGATCCCAACTATATATAAAAGATGAAGACCCAAAGAAAATATATTCAACAGCTAATAGCTCTGGGTAATAGAATTATGGGTCACTTAAAAACTACTTTTCTGTATTTCCAAATTTCCTACAATTAATTCACATTATTTATTGGATCAGGAAAAACATAAGTGTTGTATACTTAGGGAATAAAACTTTAAAGACTTTTTTTCTTTACACTAGTCATTTAGAAACTGAAAAATCAGGAGTTTGTTAGTTTATTCCTTTACCGGGTTTTTAACCAAGAGGAAGAGAAACACCATCAAATAGCTGGTTGAAATAATAGCTTAAGAACTGAAATACTTAAAAATTCTTAACTTAAAAATTACATGTATTGACTGCTCAAAAATAAAAGAACCTAACAGATAGGTCTGGTTTTCAGTTGAAGCAAAACCACTTAAATGTCCACAATCTCTGATATCTTGTTTTATTCCTAAAAAATGTAACAAGAGTATCAGTGATGTTGAGATGGATTAACTTGCCAAAGGGGAGCTGGTTCAGCTGATGCTTGAGCCGTTAGAGCAGGAGGGACACTGAGGGGCAGCAGTATACGCTGCTGAAGAAATACAGGAGCTCTCTCTACTGTGTCTCCAATAAAGATTTTTTTAAACCCAAAATTAATCTGGAAAAATTTTCAAAATAAATTACTCCTTTAAAATGTAGAGAGGAAATAGTATAAGTGAAAATGACAACTATCTCTGCGTTGTAACATTAGAGTGTTAAACTGGATGTCCATATGCAAAAAACAAAATTAACTTTAATCCATACCTCACACTATACACAAAAATTCAAAATGGATCACTAGACCTAATATAAAACCTAAAACTATAAAACTTCCAGAAGAAAATACAGGAAAACTCTTGGGTTGGACAAAGACTTCTTAGATATGACACCAAAAGCATGATACATAAAAGCAAAAAAATGGATAAAGTGGAGTTATCAAAACTAAAAACTTCTGCTCTTTAAAAGACACTGTTAAGTGGATGCAAAGATATGACACAGACTGGAAGAAAATATCTGCAAAATGTATATCTACTAAAGGACTGATATAAAAAACATGTAACAAACTCTCAAAACTCAGTAAGAATAATAAGAAAAAAATCAACCCAATAAAAAATAGGCAAAAGATTTGAACAGACACTTCATTAGATATAAGGATGGCAAATAAGCACATGAAAAGATGCTCAAAATCATTAATCATTAAGGAAATGAAATTAAAACACAATGGGATTCTAGTAGACACCTATAAGAATGGCTACAATTAAAAAGAGTGACTGTAGCAAGTGTTAGCGAGGATACGGAGGAACCAGAATTCTCATACGCTACTAGTGGAATATAAAATGACACAACCTCTTTGGAAAAGTTTGGCTGTTTCTTAAAAAGTTTGACACACACCTACATGATCCAGCCTTTCTATCCTAGGTATTTCCCCAGGAAAAGTGAAAGCCAATGTCCAGACAAAGACCTCCACATGAATGTTCACAGATGCTTTATTTGTAAGAGTAAAAACTGGAAACAACCCAGCTGTTGCTGCCATCAACAGGTAAACGGATGAACAAACGGTGGCGTATTAATACAACAGACCGTGGCTCACGCTACCACATGGATGAATCTCAAAATCATCACACTGAGTGAGAGAAGCCAGACCAAAACCAAACCCAAACAAACCTGAATATATATTGTATGATTTCATTTATATAAGAGTCTATAAATTCAAACTCATGTATTGTGATGGAAAGCAGATCAGTGGTTGCCCTTGTGAGGGGAGGTGAAGGAGGGATCATAAACTTTTGGGATGGTGGATATGTTCATTTTATTGACTGTGATGAAATCGCAGGTATATATGCATATTAAAGCCTATCAAATTGTACACTTTGAGTATGTTCATTTTATAGCATGTCAATTATACCTTAATATAGCTGTTAAAAAAATTAATGAGTTAAGCTTATGCTAAATTTTTTAGGTAAAGAAACTAATGACACTAAGTTTCTCTGACGTGTGATTAAAATTCTACCTCCTCCCACCCTCATTTAGCCCAGTGAGCCCTGGGGGAGGGGGTCATTGTACTCAAGAGCATCAGGAGGCCGACTTCTGAGGATGCATGGCCGGGTGTGAGGGACACTGGACCACACACACCACCCTGTTGATTCCTCGGGCTGGGCCAGGAGGGGGTGAACAGGTTCTCCTGCCTCCGGGCCTGCTGGTAGTTCTGTGCTATTCCTTCCCCTCCATCCCTCCTACCCTGCACTCACCTCTTCTCCCTCATTCTCTGACTGCCCAAACTTCAGCCGCAGACTCTCCTCAAACTCTTTGTCCGTCCAGTAGAAGAGGACCTCCGCACCCTCCGTGGCCACCAAGACGCACTTCATCTGCAGGGAGAAGGAAGGTCAAGGTCACCTCCCAGCCCCCACATCCAAAAGCTCAATCTGAGTGACACAGAGGATCATAATCCCAGCAAACATCCACCGAGCCCTCACTGTGAGCCACGTGCCACCACAAAGCCTACCCGGTGCTATTTCATCACAACCTCACAACAACTTGGTAAAGCAGGAATCTCCAGTTACTCCCATTTCACAGGAGAGGACACGGGCACAGCGAGAAGTGTCAGAGCTGGAATCCAAACCCAGGCCTGGCTAATGCCAAGCTGGGGCTCTTTCCTCTGTGTTATCCGGCCTCTCTCACCATAGCATCAGACCCACCACAGGGCCTAAAAGAACCAAACTAAGGAAGGGCCCAGCTCTTAATCTGGACACGGAGTAAACTGCACGAGGGAGCCATGCTCACGGCAGACAGTCAGTGCCTGGTCCGCAAGGGAGGCCGGCTAGTGCACCTCCCTCTGGGCAGTCCAGAGATGCGTTTTTCTTCAAGTCAAAAGCAGCTCCAACAGCAACTAGAAGGATGTGCAGCTATGACCTACAACTATCTGCTGGGGCTTTGGGGGAAAAAATAAATAAATAAAATTAAAAAAAAAAAAAAGCAGCTCCAGAAGATGAGCCTCAAAGCCCATGAGGAATGGAGTCAGCATTACAGGAATTTCATTCACAAGTTCCTCCTGCTCTGGGTGGAAACATAGGCTGCCTGACCTTGTCCACGATTCTTTCTCATACCTGCTTAGCTGCTGTGCTCCTCAGACACATCCACCAGGGTCTGGCCCTTCTGAACATCCTGCCCCACCACCCACGCACATACCCTCTGTGCCACCCATTTTGATGCTTGATTATGTGAAATGTGTTTTATTACTCACCAACTGGTAGATTCTTAATCCAGAGCTTCCCACACTACGCCCTGGCCCCTGGGGTGTAGCAGGACAGTGATCCTCTCAACGCTTGGGGCAGCCTGACCAAGTCTGGTGAGGCCAGAGCTCTCACGCCAGCTGCTTACAGCTGAGAGAACCCTTGGCAGGGGCTTCAGATCCTCTCGTGTACCTCAGTATGCCACACAGACACGATCACGTTGTGCGTGTGCTAAGACATGACAGTGATTAGGAAGCTCTGCCCTAACTCTTCCATGAGCAGATGTCTGGTCTCCTCAACAGGATCACAGCATCTGGAGGTCCTGGACTCATGACACTCTTCAGGATCCCCGATGAGACCAGCTTAGTGGTACTTACTGAATTCCTCTCAAATCTCCCTTTGGTTTATCAACTCTAACTCAGAGCACCTGGCCTCAAAGTGTTTCCAGTGCAGTGAAAAACAAAGCATGTAGCCTATTCCCATGGAATTGCTAAACACTAAGGCAGAGACTGCGACAGCAACGGATGTGAAGAAAAGGCTGCTGGATGAGGGCAGGTGGGCCTGGAAGAGGCTGCTCTGGGGCTCCCAGGTGAGTATGACAAAGTTGGGGGCTCGAGGGGCCAGCCTGATGGGAAGGGAGTGTGTGGGCTGGGGAACAGTGGACTATGGAATGGAGGCTGTGATCGACAGCAGGGAGCCCCTGTAGGCTGGGAAGGGTGTGGGAAGTGACGTGCTGGTCACAGATGGGTGAGATGAAGGTTATGCAGGCCAGTCGTCCTGGTGTGGGGTAATGAGGATCCACTCTTTGGTGGAGGCCAGGAGAGGAAGGGGCCTATTCAAGGAAGGTAGCTTAGAGACTTAGCAGGCCTCGATGACCGCCTGGATACAAGGGAGGAAGGAGAGAACAGGCAAGGTGACATCAGGATGCAGAGCTGAGGCAGGGGGCTGGGGATGAGAGAGCACTGCAGAGCCCCGGAGAGCTCAGTCCACTGCCTGCCTCACTCTGTCCACCTCCCAGAGACACAGAGTGGGTCAGGCAGGATCATCTACCTTGGCAAGGAGCACAGCAGAGCTTCTGGACAGCCAGAGGTTCCGAAAGGGCTTTGGTAGACAGACTCAGTGACCAGCTCATGAGAGCAGCATAGCATCTCCAGTCCTGCAAACGCTTAAAACAGAGAGGTCATGAGGGCAAGCAGAGGCTCTCATTCCAACTGCTGTCCATTCCTCCAAGTGGAGAAGCTGGTGAACAACTGAGTGGTCAAAGTGGTCTCTGGCCCTTAGGCAGTCTGCTGAGAACATACTCCCCATGGCCAGGTGTCCCAGTGCCTGGTATCCCACCACCCCCACCCTCCCACATTCAAGAACACGAACCTGGCCAGCACAGTCGTTTGGACATAGCAGGCGCCCACAAACATGAATTCCCACCTACTCTGTTTCCCTCCAAGCCCTCTCATTTCACTCTAGGTCACTCAGAGTCATGGTGTGGTCAGCAAACCTGCCCTGAGCAACCCCAGGGAGCTTGCTATGAGGGACTGCCGACAGACAGCACAGCACACCCAGGCCGACAGGGAAGCAGTGGCAGGAGGAGAGAGGAGGTATCCTGGAACCACACAACGAAAGTAAACCAACACAAAAGATGTCGGACACCTGGTTCTAGTTTTGGCTTCGACAAGTCACTTTAACCTCTCTGAGCCTCAGACTCAGGCAGTGAAACGATTCAACCCCTGCTCCACCTCCCTACAGGGTTATGGAGAGAGTCACGGAGTAACCAGGTGGGACAGCCTTTAGCAAACTCGGCTTTCTTACACACAGGTGGGGGGGTCGTTATTATTTCCCAGCTTCCCTTCAGTCAAATAACAGGATGAACTAAACCTGTTCCAGAATCATTCACATTTTGATGATAAAAGGCAGGAACAATAAAAAGCTTTAGCTTAATTAGGAAACCAAACATCGTAAGCAAATAAGGCAAGAAAGCGCTGTTAAGGACTCAGCATCTTTTGCAACGTATCTGAGACTGGGTACATCACCGGCCTTAAAGCCATATTCCCAGAGACATGGGAATGCTTTTTAATGTACATTAGGTTCTACGTTTTTTATTCCAAAAGGCTGTTGGAAAGAGAACCTCACCGGTGTCATTTTGTGATTTCCGTCTTCTCCCTATCCTGCTCTAAAGAGGGAACACAGGACTCACTGGAGGTCCAGATTGCGCTGGGCCAACCTGGGGAAACTCGCAGCGCCCATTTTCACCATCTGGACCCGGGCCCTCACCTCCCTCCCCAGCAAACTGCCCCTACTGCCGCCGTTCCTGCGTCCCCGCAGCTCCGTCTTGGGGCCGCTCCCTGGAAGCCTCGGCCTTGCCCCCGCTGGGCTGGAGGACCCGGGGGTGAGAATCCGCAGGCTCGAGTTAGCAGTTCGCCGCCGCGGGGCTCCCTGCCTGTTTGCTCCGCACTCTACAGTTTACGCAGCAGTTTCACCGCCAAATCCCCCGGAACCTCACAGCTACCCTGGGAAGAAGGCCCGCCTTGTGGCACCGGCCCCACGTCGTAGCTGCAGAAACTTTGGCTCCGAGAGGTGAAGCGACCGGCCCAAGGCCGGTGTGAGGCTGGGGCTGGGGCCCGCTCCCCTACTTCCAGGAGGGCCGCGCGGGGTCCCGGAGGAAGCCCACGGAGGGGCAGTCGAGGGTAGCTCTTCCACCGTCCGGGAGGCCCACGTACCGATCACAGCCAAACAGCACCCAGCAGGCGTGCCAAGGGCCCGCGGGCGCGCTTCCGGGTGGAGTCACACGACCGCCCCCGTGACCGCCCCGCCCCGCCCGGGGAGAGGCTGGAAGTCCGGGGCCCGCTCCGCAGGGTGGAGCCCCGCCTGCCTGGCCCCGCCCCCGCCCGCGGTGCCGGCCACTCCCGCTCGGCAGCCGGGCCTAGGGAGCTCTGACTCTAGCCGTCCCGTGGTGAGGGTCCTCCTGTCGTCCAGGAGGGCGCCGAGACCCAAAGGTTGGGGGCCTCGCCTGTGGCCGTCGGGGGCACCTGCTGCGTCCCGCACTGTCCTCGGCTCTTGCACCAGCCTTAGGTCGAGCGATTCCCCAATGAGGCATAGGAACGGCGGCGTTTTAGCCCCATTTTCCAGAAGAGGAAACTGAGGCCCAGAGAGAGGAAGTAACTTGCTGAGGGGCCGAGTTAGGATCAGAACCCAGGTCTCCTGGCTCCCGGCTGGGCTCTTTCCCACCCGCTGGCTATACTTAATGAACTGCATTTCCGGAGCGAGAGCTGCCCTTCTGTGACTGTTTTCCTTGGCCTCCTGTGGAGGAGACAGCCTGCAGAAGGGCCCAGTTTACCCCAGAGCGCCAACTCTGGAATTTCTCTGTAAGGGCTCTCAATTCATTTTGGGGTTGGGGGTGCACATTAGAGGCTTTATTTTGAACCTTCGTTTTCAAGATTTTCTGAAATTGCGTGTGTATTTGGAGTGGCTGAAGGTAGCCGGGAGCTGATGAATATCATGCAAGGGACTAACCCCCACCCAAGTCCCTCCTCAGTGCCTGAGTGCTGTCTGGGAGCTTTGAGCGCAGCCCAGCAGTGGATGAGTTGTGGAACTGGCTGGGGTACAGCATATTGAACACCCCCTGGGGAAAGGCAGGGGCCAAGAATTAATGCCTCCACCTCCTGCAGACAAAGCATCACTCCCCTCCCTTCCCCCTTCATTCACTGCGCATCCCTTCCAGCCTACCTTAGGGCCCAAGCCTTCCTACTCCCCATCTACAGCACATCAGGCATGGCTCTCTCCAGCCCACAGCTGAGACCAGTCTAGCTGTGTGCTCCTTATCCTGCTATTTTCACTCACCGTGTTTCTCTCTTGTGTCAAACTCTTCATGAGCATGAATTTCAGTGGTTGAAGAAATTCCATCAAAAGGAGATGCTGCTATTTACTTATTCACTCTCACTGCTGGTAGTTTCCATTTCCCACCAGCAATGTACGAGGATCCCAATTTCTCCACATCTTTGCAAACACTTGTTTGCAAACACTTGTTTTAATTTAGCCGTCCTAGTGGGTGTGAAGTGATATCTCATTGTGATTTTGATTTATATTTCTCTGATGGCTAATGATGTTCAGCATCTTGTCATGTGCTTTTTGGCCATTTGTGTATCTTCTTTGGAGAAATGTCTATTCAAATCCTTTGCCCATTTTAAAATTGTCTTTTTACTATTGAGTTGTAAGTATTCTTTATGTATTCTGGATACAAGCCTCTTATTAGATATATGATTTGCAAAAATTTTCTCCCATTATGTGGTTTTTCCTTTCACTTTTTTAATGGTGTCACTTGTAGCATAAAAGCTTTCAATTTTGATGTAATCATTTATCTATTTGTAATATGTCCAGATTTTTGTGTCAACATAGGTTTTTATTTCACTTAGGTAAATCCCTAGCAGCGGAATAGCTGGGCTGTATGGTAAGTGTATGTTTAAGTTTATGTTAAACTGCTGAACTGATTTCTAAAGTGCATGCACGATTTTACATTCACCCTAGCAATACTGAGAGTTTTAGTGGCTCTGTAGCCTCCTTAGCACTTGACATTGTCTTTTTCTAACTTTAGCCATTCCAGTAGGTATGTAGTAGTATCTCATTGTGGCTTTAATTTCCATTTTCCTAATGACTAATGATGTTGAACTTCTTTTCATGTGCTTATATGCCATCTGTATATCTTCCCTGGTAAAGTGTTCAAATTGTTTGCCCATTTTTAAATTGGATTGTTTTTCTTATTATTATTTATATGCTTTCTTTATATATTTGGATAAAAATCCTTTATCAGCTATCTGTTTTGCATTATTATTTTTTTTTCCAGTCTGTGGCTTTGTCTTTTCATTTTCTTTACAGTGACTTTCGAAGAACAGAAATCTTTGTGGTTGTTATGTACTGTCTAAGGAGTCTTTGCCTAAGCCAGGGTCACAAAGATTTTCTCCTGTGTTCTCTTCCAAAAGTTTTATAGTTTTAGGTTTTGCATTTAGGTCTGTGATCCATTTCGAGTTGATTTTTGTAGATGGTGTGAGGGAAGGGTTCAGATTTATATTTTTGCATTTAGATATCCAGTTTTCTAGCACTATTTGTTGAAAAATATCCTTTCTCCATTGAATTACTTTGACATATTTATCTCAAATCAATTGACCATATATGTATGGATCTATTTCTGGACTCTCTATTCTGTTCAATAAATTTAGAAAGATTCAGGTCACACTAAGGATTTTATCGATTTTCTCAAAGAAACAACTTTTGGTTTCATCAGTTTTCATTGGTTTTCTGGTTTTTTTTTTTTTTTTTTATTTTTTTTTTTTCCCCCAAAGCCCGAGTAGATAGTTGTACGTCATAGTTGCACATCCTTCTAGTTGCTGTACGTGGGACGCGGCCTCAGCATGGCCGGAGAAGCAGTGCGTTGGTGCGCGCCGGGGATCCGAACCCTGGCTGCCAGCATAGGAGTGCACGCACTTAACTGCTAAGCCACGGGGCCCGCCCCTGGTTTTCTGGTTTTTATTTCACCAATTTCTGTACAGATATTTACTATTTCCTTTCTTATTTTCACTTTGGATTTAATTTGCTCTTCTTTTTTTTATAGTTTCTTAAGGTGGAAACTGACCCATTGATTTGAGACCTTTTGTCTTTTCTAATGAAGGAGTTTACTGCTATAAATTTCCCCCAAGGTACTGCTTCATCAACACCCACAACTTTTGATGTGTTGTATTTTCATTTTCAATTAGTTCAAAATGCTTTCTAATTTTTCTTTTGATTTTTTTTTGACACTTGCATTATTTAGAAGTGTGTTATTAATTTCCAAATATCTGGAGGTTTTCCAGGTATTTTTCTGTGCTTGGTTTCTATTTCAATTCCATTTGGTCAAAGGATATGCTTGGTGTGACTTAAATCCTTTTAAATTTATTGATGGCCTAGGATATGGTCTATCTTGGTGGATGTTCCATGGGTACTTGAAAAGAATATATATTCTTCTTTTGCTGGGTTGAGTGAACTATAAAATGTCAATTAGGTCAAGCTGGTTGATAGCAATATTCAAGTCTTCTATATCCTTAATGATTTTCTGTGTACTTGTTCTATCAAATATTGAGAGAATGATACTGAACTCTGTAACTATAATTGTGGATTTATCTATTTCTCCTTGCAGTTCTATCAGCTTTTGCTTCATATATTTTATAGCTCTGGTATTTGATGCATAAGCATTTATGATTGTTATGTCCTCTTGAGGAATTAACCCCTGTATTATTATGAAATTACTTTTTAGTCTTTGGCAATATTCATTGCACTAAATCTACTTTGTCTGAAAAGAGTGTAGCCACTACAGCTTTCTTTTGATTAGTGTTAACATGGTATTGAAGGAGTTCAGGATATGATACTTTAAAATATGCCACTTTGGTATATTAATTATTTTGAACTAAAGGCACTTGAAAATCAGTGGATGCAAGAAGGGCACTCTGATCTTCCCTTTTCTTTCTGAAAGCAGGAGATGAAACTTCCATGTGAAAGATACCCTCCCTATACCTGGAGAAAAGAAACATTCTTATTACCGGAGATGGTGAGTCCAGATGGAGAGAAATATGTACAAATAGGCTTTGTTAAAATAACTCTTATCTTTCTTTGGTTTCCTCATGTAGTTTAGTTACTTTTCCACAATTGCTACTCATTGTTAAACCTAATATGTAAGCACTTAGGCCTAGCCGTTTCTTTGGGTCTTCATTTTTCTTGTTGGGCGCTCCTATGTACATGTAAAAAATTACTAAATAAAATTTGTATGCTTTTCTCCTGTTAGTCTGTTTTATGTCAGTCCCAGCTGGAAACCCTAAGAGGGTAGAAGAGAAATTTTACCTCCCCTACATATGTAATTTTCCACCCTTTTACTTTTAACCTACTTGTGTCTTCATATTTAAAGTGCATTTTTTTCATAGGCAGCATATGGTTGGATCTGATTTTTTATCCAGACTGACAATCTCTGCCAGACTGAATTGTCAGATTCTGTGGTAAGACACCTTACATAGAATACAATTATTAATATGGTTTGGTTTAATTCTATTAGTCTGTTATCTTGCTATTTGTTTTCTATTTGTCCTATCTTTTCTTTGTTCCTTTTTCCCTCTTTTTATGCCTTTTAAAAAATTTGTTGAGTATTTTTATGATTCTGTTTATCTCTTTTATTGGCTTCTACATCAAGACTGGGGTGAGGAGAATGAGATTCTCACTTTGAGTGAAAAATTTAAAGGAATGTCAAAAAAACTTGGTAATCAAGATAAATATTATTTTAATTAGTATTTTTAAAAGTCAAAAATAATGCAGAAGTAATGCTATGATGAACAAATATCAAAATTTTAAATATAAACATAATCACTATTTCTGATTTTTCACTTTGCTTCAGGCTCCCATGTAGCATGGCATAACACTATTACTGACTGTGTGTCACATTTTCCTGCTTCTTTGTGTGTCTACTAATTTTGTATTTTATACTGGACATTGTTAGTGATGCATTGAAAAGACTCTGGGTTCTGTTATCTTCCACTGAAGAGTATTGAGTTTTGTTCTAGGAGGCAGTTGAATTAATGGCAGTTCACTTTGATCCTGTGGAGGCTTGATTTTAGGCTTTACTAGAATGATGTATTTCAGTTTTTCCTTTAAGAAAGTGGGATCCTTACTCCTAAGGTATGGCCTCTCTGGGCTTTCAATGGAAAGTCTGAGGTGTTTACAAAGCCCCTTGAACTTGGTAGGACTTGAGCTCAAATTCTC